CCACGCACAACAACGTACCCGTGGCGCCGGTGCAGATGGTGCTTGGCCGCTCGCTGCACGCAAAGCGAGAGGTGGAGCACGTCGGCCTTGTAGGCGCGGACTCGGCGCCGGCACGCGTTGCCGCGGTAGATCGCTTGCACATGCAACAAGATAGCTCGGTTTCTTCCACGCTGCAATGACCGCAGGTATACCACCCACTAGGACGCCCGCTTTTCATGTTGCGCACTCGAGACATGTGACTCTACCTTGAGGTGCGCGCGGAAGGCTCGCTGAATGCGGCTGGCGGCGCGCCGCTGTCGAAGGCGCTTGCGCTTCGTGACGGACAGAAGCGTCAAATCTCGCTGCTGCCACTTTCGTGCGCAGGCTTGGAGGAGCTCGACCGCACAGTACTGCGCGAGCAGCTTCTCAAAGAGAACGAGCCATGTCGTTGCAGCCGGCGTCATCTCAAAGTCCGACGACTTGGCTCCAGCTTTGGCCGGCGACGCCGGCTCCGGCGATCCGCAAAACGGCAGTGCCAGTGTGCACCGTCGCAAGCAGCTTTTAGTGAGACGCTCGCAGCCTATAGACAGATCCATATCGATGCTGGACACTGCAAACTTGACTTCGAGACAACCTCGAAGACGCACGTCACGGAGCTTGTCACAGCCTGTGACGAGGGCGATTAGGCCGTCGTCGGTGATGTTGGCGTTGCCGTTCAAGTCGAGGAACCGGAGCTCCATGCGGGAACCCGCGAGCGCGACGAGCGACTGGTTGGTCAAGTGCGTACAATGAGACAGTGTAAGGCGCTCCAGTCGGAAGAGACTGGACGCAATCGCAGTGACAGCCTTGTCAGTGAGCAGCGGACACTAGTCACACCATTGACCAAGACTATCAAAATGCAGGGAGCTAGCTACCTTGGACAAATTCAATGTGTGGAGGTCGCGGCAGTGCCGGGCGACCGCAATCACGGCGGCGTCATCAATGACCGTGTCCCCAACGTAGAGCTCCAATAGGTTATGGCAGTTGGCAGCCACCAGCATGACGCCGTGCGTCGTGACGCGCGGACCGCCCGTGACGTCCAAAATCGTCATACGACGGCAGAGTTTGCTCACGATTGCGAGCGTCTCGTCGCCAATGTCAGGACGTCCGTAGAACAACTCGTTGCGGCACCCTAACCACTACCATGACCGAGTTTATAGCAAGTCGTGTCATACCCGAGAGCACAAGATGGCGCAGCTGGGTGCAGAGCTTGGCGACAGTCATGATACCAGCGTCCGAGACGTGCGAGAGCCCTTGGAGGTTGAGGTGCTGGAGGTCCGTGCACGCACCGCCGATCGCGCCCAGACCGTCGTTGTTGATTTCGTAGCAGTTGCGCACGTTGAGGTACTCGAGCAGCGACACGTGCCGCTGTGTCGCGTGCGTGTCGCTGTTCTCTTTGGAGAAGAGGTTGGTAAGCCCTAGGGAGGTTTCGTGAGGGTTAGGGTCCACCGATTCGGTACCTTTGGACGTCACACGGGAGCAGCCGTTCAAGCTCAACCAGCGAAGCCGCGTGCACTGCGCCAAGAGCAAGAGGCAAAAGTCGTTGATCTGGAGACAGTGCGCGAGGTTGAGTTTCTTGAGGCGGCGACACCCGCCGACGAGCCAGCTCACGGACGTTTCGTCCAGATCGAGGCTTGGAATGTCCAGTGTCTCGAGGACGCCGAGGGTCTTGCTGGTCTCAAACGCAAAGAACGCCATGGACTGCACTTGGAGGCAGTGGCCAAACGCAAAATACGTCAACTCCATCTCTACAGTGCTACTCCTAAATACCTCTGCGGCGACAACAAATCGCACCATGTTTGCAGTCGGCCACATCCGTGATGCCCGCGTCCGTGACGTTGCGGCACTTGGAGACATCGAGGTACCTTGTGAGTGCGCCCGGCTGGCGCTTGGTCGTGGCGACGCAGTGAAGGAAGCGATCTGTCACTGCGGGGCAGCCCTGGGCGCTGAGCGAGTGCAGCTTCGTGCAGTCCGTCCACGTCGCTATGAGCACGTCGCTGGAAAAGTTGCGGCACTCGTCAATGTGCAGCACGCTGAGCTGCGCCAACGTCCGTCGAATTAGCGTCAAACTGGCGTCCGTGAGCGCCTCGCATCTAGTGCGACCAGACAATGTGTCTCACTTCTTAACGTGCGCGTACTTGGCGACACTGAGCGTATGGATGAATTTGAGCTTGCCAATGTGCTTCAACCCGCCATCCGTCACATCGGATTCTACCTGTGCATTGAGTGCAGGAAGCCAGATGGTCTCCAACCTCGAAGAAGAAGCGTACGGCACACCGATGGCTTGACGGGCACACCTACACACTTGACATGAGACGCTGCACGATGGGCATACTGTCTACCGGGCGGGATCGTTCGAGACGCGAGCGTGCTAAGCCAGTCGTTGACGCGCATACCACTGAAGTCCAAGTCCTCCATCGGCACCTTGTGGAATGAGTCCTACAGCGTAGCTTCAGCGACGCCACATTTTCAACCAGAGACGAAAGAATGACTTTGAACGAGAGAAAGGCCGGCGGCGATGCGACAAGTGTGTCAAGGCCACCGACGCGGTCTAGAATGCGCTGCAGCTTGGCGCCGAGGCCGTACGGGGCGCCCGTCGCGTTGTCGCGGTCGCGGAGGCAGTGTAACTTGACAGATCGAGCGTACTTGAACTCATCGAGTTCCGCCACCCAGCGTGCGAGCGTCGCCTCGGAGACCTTTGACGGGACCTTGCGGGCCTTTTGCGGGGCCATGGCGGCGTCGCTTCGCAAGATCGCGCTCCGCCAATCCGTGGCGTGTATCGTTTCGATAGCCAATCCAGCGACAGATAAGTCGCGTCGTTTGCGCCAATGGCATTGCACCACAACCCGAAACCATTCACCTGCCATGCAAAGCGCTGCGTGGCTCCTCACAGCGCTCGTCGCCATGAGCGCTACGACGTCGCTTGCCAAGGCGCCCTTCACGTACGGCGAAGAGTGCGTTTTGCGCCAGAACCAAGGCAACACTATCGAAATGCTCCAGCGCCAGCTGCGCACCAAGTCGGCCCTCGACATTCGCCGCAAGTGCATCGAGCTCGGCCTCAACTGCGGCGGTGCCTAGTAATACAACTGCGCTTTGCACCGATAACAAAGGCTACAATAACAACGACTGTATATTCATCATCATCCGTGCTCGCTCCATTTTACTGGGCAGCGGGCGCCGCGGGCTTAAAGCCAGCTTCGACAAGCGCAGCCTTGACGACCTAGTATGACGCACAACACCCATGGTAAGCGTGATTTAATGGTGGAGCGAGAGGGTCGACGCACCTCGAAGGACGGCGAGCGGCCTGTCGTGAGCGCCGAGTGAATCTGCTTGTCTGTAGGATGATGAGCTGTATGCGAGTGAAGATGGAGTGAGGCGCACCGTTGATGTAGACTTCGAACGCGCCCGTGTTGGTGAGCATTTGGCGCAGAGGCGAGAGAATCATGACCATCGGAAATACCACGAAGCGGTACTGGTTGTACTTTTGCAGCGTCTCGTCCGGCAGCGGAAGGCCGACCGCGTTGAGAATCTGGTCCCCGAACATGACGACGATCGTCAAAATGGCTTGGAGCGCGATTGTGAGGCGCGACAAGAGCAGCTTATTCGGCGGCAGCGGGTAGTCGTCGCTCGTGATCTCGAGCTGCGGGAACTGCCGCGTCAGCTTGGTCTCGAGGTTCGAGAAGTGGGCTGGGAACGACACGCTGTCGTAGAGGACGCGGACGACGTCGCCCGTCTTCTTGACCTCCAACGACTTCTTGTTGGCTTGCTTGGCGCGCTTCTTGGTCGACATGGCGAGGCGATTTGACTTGTGTGACTTACAGCCTGTCTTTGCCGCTTCAATGTGGTCATATGTGGCAGTTTGCCATATTTAACATGGCACATGCCGACATGGGCGACAAATAGAATGGGACGCGACGTGGCATCCGTGCCGAAAATAATGATTCGGCTGTGCTCGCTTGAGCACCGCAGACGCCCGCCAACCATACGTGGCAGTCTGTGGTTCATTGTCGGCCAAATAAGCTCGAGCGATTTGATCTCTTCGTCTCCATCGCATAGTAGAGACTAGTATCTCTCCACGATGGGGCCACCGCTACCTGACGCAATGCGAGGCGTTCTTTGTTCTGAAGCTACATGGAGTCAAGCCGTCTAGTTCAAGTCTGATGTGCAGCTACTGCATGAACCAGCCACATGCGCAGTCTCGACTGGCTACGACATCTACTTGGCGCTCTTGGGCAAAATGTTCTTGTCGGCGAGGATCGTCTTGAGGTTCTATTCCGCCATCGCCATGACGCATCATTCTGCATCGTGGAGCATACCTCAAACGTCAGAAGCGACCGCGTCTCGAGCATCGAGAAGACGAGCTCCTCTACCATCTCCATCAGATCTTAGTACAGCACGCATGTCCTACCGTTGAGGTAGACTTCAAACGCGCCCGTGTTGCTCAGCATTTGGCGCACGGGCGAGAGCATCATGACGATGGGCAGCGCCATAAACTTGTTTTCACGGTACTTTTGCAAATAGACGGGCGCCAGGTCGAGCTCGAGCTTCTCAACGATAGTCTCGCCAAACATGATGGCGATAACGAGCACGACCTGGACGAAGAAGACGATTTTGACCCACTTGGACTTGGTCGGCGGCAGCGGGAAGCTCTTCCCCGAGGTCGCGATACCCGGGAACTCGCGCGCGAGGTTGCCGCTCATCTGGTTGAAGAGCGTCGCGAACGCCGCCTTGTCGTACTCGATGCGGATGCGGTCGTCCGACTTCTTGCTGGCCGCTGCGGTGCTTCGCTTCGCCTTGCCCATGCTCTCTCTCTGTGAACAGCAATCTCGCAAAAATAGTTCTACAAACGAAACGACCGAATTTCTCGTTACAAGAACTAATGGGGTAGGGTTCGGGTCCTCGGATCGGCGGCCGCTTCTTGAAATGAGTTATTGACCGTATCGACGGTCGCTTGGAGTCGCCGAGCTACGCTGTTGCTACGTCGCCTTCCTCCTCGACGCCACCTGAGTGAGGAGCTACAGTCGTGCAAGTCATTTCCGTCACGCACCCACGTGGACGCAAGCACGGACCCTTGCGACCTGCGAGCTGCGAACCAACGTACTGTACCGAAATGCATGCAATTTGGAGAGACGCAAAGCGCAGTCGCGTGGAACATCCATAGACCTCGCTTTGGCCTGGACGTATGCCAGACGGTCTAGCTCAAGGGTTTAACGCAGAAGACGTGTTGGCCACGACTTTTTAGTTTCTTGATGTCCTTCGGGTGGTAGACTCTACGCTAAATGAAGGACGTCGCCGTCAGAACGCAGTCGTCGGTCTTGGACGCGGAGGTACTGGACGCGGATCTTGTAGACGCGGCGAGCGGCCAATGCACTGGCTGCCGCGCCAAGCACGCCGATCACCGCCATGAGCACGGTGTAGAGGCCGACGAGGGACATCGTGCCAACGAGAAGGACCGTCAAAAGCACGGCCAAGACCGTGGTGCAGTGGCAACTGAACCACTTGTCGCACGCTCCGAGATAGCGCTCTGTCGCCGGCGCGACCCGTTGACAGCCCAGGAAGATGCATATCGCAATCGCTGTGGAGAAGAGACTGATGACAAAATAGGCTAGAAAGCGCGGGCACCCGATTGATGCGAGCCACTCGTTGAGCGCCCGGTCGTCGTCGGACCAGGTATAGCTTCGGTGCCCTCTGACCTTGCTCTTCTCAACGAGCCAGATCATGACGCACCCGAACATCACGACAAGGAGTACAAAGAGCACGCGGAGCAGCTGCGCCTTGCGGACGCGCCGCTTGTACTCGGCCGCTTCACTCGGCACCTCGTACAAGGCGTAGGCCTCGCCGCAGGCATCGCAGTGTGTCACTGCCGACCTCTTGAGGGCGCGACGCGCGTCCAAGCAGTCGCGGTGGACGTACGACGCACAGCCGCAGGCCGCGATGAGGTCGGTCGTCGAGCGTCGGTAGCAGCGCAAGCACTCGAGCGGAAGCACGGGTGTCGTCTCCATTGAGCTGAGTAAACTTCGAAGTGACGCCACCAGAACGTTTGGCTTGGGTGGCCGCACTTTGGCACTCGCCATCTGCGCTCGTCCACCTGGCTGGACTGGGAGCCAAAGGAAAACAGTTGGCTATTGGGTGTGGCCCCCTTTTGCATAAAGACATCCATATATATTCGCATTGCAATAGACCAGCAGTTGGAATAAAGTCATGCTTGGACGTCACAGCGAAGTCTCTGTCCGAGGATTTGGCTGTCTTCCTTGGCTCTCAACATCGATATAAGCTTGGATCGCCGTGCACATGAGCACTGTGTTTATACGTCCCCACACATTTCTTCATCTGCGTCCGAAAATCGCCATCTGGGCACAAGCCGATGCGGATTCTCAGCTCGATTTTTAGAGCCTCGTGACAGTCCTGACCGTACTACACTGCTACCGGTGCCACTTTGCGCTCTCATATCGTTCCCGGGTTCTGGCACCGAGGACCAATTTGTTGGCGACGAAACAACGCTTGCACGCTTCGAAAAGCTGCCAGCCACGACGGTGTTGCGTGAACACACTACGGTCAAGAGTCACCGACGCGAGCGAGCACCACAGCCGCAACGTATGCCTCTCAGCGTGTATGCCATGCTATACCTACGAGGCCAGTACACACTTGAGGATCGATCCTAGAGAAAAATTCGCATTTGAAACTGAATCTGGCTCGGCGAGGGTTAGGGTAAGCAAGTGGGCACGGCATCGAGCTCACGCAAGGGGCGTGCGAGCACTTGCACCTTGACGTCACCATCGCGCTCCTGCATCGTGCGCGAGACGGCAACGCGGGTGGCATCGTGGAGTATGTTTTGTCGCGCACCCGCCGGGTTGGTCTCGTAAGGATCATGAGCACCGTTGGTACCTCGGTATATGCAGCTGAGTGAACGGCAAGTAGCACTCGTCGTCGTACACCTACGCAGTACTTCAAACAACAAGAAACAAAAGATTCAATTCATTTTGCAATTATTTCAAAACAAAGAGCTCAAGCCGTTACAGCGTCGAGGCGGGCGTCGGCGCGGGTGCGCTTGTACTTGCGGTGGAGTTTGTAGTACGTCCAGTCGCGGCAAAACGTACACTGGTACGTGCCCGCCAAAATCACCGTGTTGGTGGCCGACGTGAGCGCATTTGGTTGGAACTTGGCGCACTCGTCGCAACACGGCTCGGGTCCACGCTTGCGCATGTTGAAAGGATGCTCGTTGGTGAATGTGACCATGCCGACCTTCTTGGTGGTCGCGGCCAAGGGATGGGGCGCGTCGTCTTCTTCTTCGGGAAGCTCTGAGGCCGCATCCGTTGACGCCGCAGGACCAATGCGACCAGAGGCTTTGCGTTGCGCCCCAAAGTCGGCGAGCTTGGGCAGCGGTGGTGGGACCTTGCCAGCCGCGATTACCTTCTTTCTCGCCCGACTAACCGTGCAATCATCATGAGAAAACCAACCGGCTCAACCGCAAGTAGATCGTACACGGCTCGGTCGTATGCGTTCTTATACGCCCGGTTCGCCATGCGCCACGCCTTGTCCTGGACCTGGCGGACTTGCTTGTTCTTCTGGCGGTACTCCTTCGCCTTCACGCGCTCTTGGGCTCGGTGCATCTTCTTGTACGCCTTGCTCTTGGCCACGAGCGCCTCTTTGTTGGCAGCGTAGTAGGCCTTCTTGCGGCTCCGCATTTGCACCTTGTTGGCCGCCTGATATGCCTTGACCTTGAGTAGAATCTTCTCCTTGTTGGCAGCGTAGTACATCTTGTCGCGCGCTCGCTTTCTTTCTGCATTGGCAGCGGCGTACGTCTTGTCGGCACTGCGCTTCCGCGCCTTCTTGGCGTCGTCCGTCACCGCCATGGTGTCTTTGCGAATGGCACCACGAGAGCCCGTTGGATCTGATCGTTATATCCGGACGATTATGCGCTGGCGGGCTGTGGTGCGTGCATTATCCGGATATCTCCAACGGTCATTGGCGTCGATATACCCTTGGTGGGCAGTGTGCGTGGTAGTTCCACCGAATCATCGATCTTGAAAGAGAGCCAACGGTCGAACCAGGAACGCGTTGGTTGAGTGACTATCAATCAAACTCGCGAAAAGTGCTACAAACGAAAACCCATGCTCTCTCGTTACAACAATATTTCGCGTTGGGGTCGAACGTCGAGAGCTTATCGCGCGCGACCAGATTAATCGTCGCCAACAAAATCACTGCAATCTTGGTATATCAAAAGAGGACAATTTGGAGGTGAGAACGCGCCATGTCATTAGATCGGGCGAGGCATTTTGGTCGAGAATTGGATGACAAAAGTTGCCAAGATACGGACGTTTCGAACGACCAAGTCCATCAGGAGGGCGGTGAACTCGCCACGAGCGGCGGCAGGAAGGAGGAAGCCCGCCGCGCTGTACTCTGCTGGACGTCGTCCCAGAACGGTGGCGGCAGCGCCGTTTGCTCGCCCGTGATCGTGTGCTGGTAGTAATACTAGCCCCTTCCATCAGCAAGTGTTTCAAGTGGGTCGTCGCACCTCGTCCGTGTAGTAGTTCATCTTGCGCTCCCACTTGGCGGCCTCGAGGCGCCCGAGGGCGACTTGTGCGAGTTGGTTTTGCACCGCGAGCGCTTCGTCCTTCGCTTGCTTTTGCGACGTCTTGTCGCGCGTTAGTATCACACTGCGCACGTAGTCGCGCCACGCGACAAAGAGCACGCGGTGGCCGTGGCCCATCCTACATGCACAATCTGTCTGAAAAAAGAAGGACATTTTGTCGGTTGTACCAGCGCCGGAGCACGTATTTCATTTGAAAAAACTCGGTCGTGACCTACCCCTAATGGTAGCACCACGGGTTGGCAGCGCAGAAGAGTACCTTGTTGCGGACGCGGGTCGTTTTTTCGCGGACATAAGTGTGCTACCCAAGGTAAGAGTCCGATGTAATGTGAAGTAAATTACGCGCAGCTCTTCGTGGAAGAGCGCGATGACGTCTTCGAGGTACGGCTTGTCCTTGGGCGGTCGGGCAGCCATGATGGCCTACGACACCGATAGGTTTGATGCGACGCTGAAACTACGTACGTTGACTTTGTCGGTGGCGTCTTGGATCCAGTCGACACAGGGTTCGAGGCCGGGGATCTCGCCCAGCGCATCAAAGACACTTTTTGTCTCGCCTTGTTCACTCTCGCTGTCACTCTCGTCCTCTGACGTTGCGTCGTCGTCGTCGTCATCACTGTCATCACTGTCATCACTGTCATCACTGTCATCACTGTCATCGTCGTCATCGTCGTCCTCGTCCTCGTCTTCGCCACTGACGTCATCGCTGTCGTCACCACGCGAGCCGTCCTGCTCATCGCCGTCCTCGTCGACGTGGGCGGACGGGTCCTCTAACTGCCGCAGCTTCTACAAGACACTCTGAATGCGCACGTAGTCGAAAGCCAACCGCTTGGAGCTTGCGCGCCGTTGGGTCCTCTTGGTGGAGTTCTTTTCGAGCTTTCTCAAGGCGGCCTTCGAGCTCCTTTTGACGGTCCTTGAGCTTGGCGAGCTGGTCGCGCTTCAGCGTGCGCTTGGTTGCATCGGCCAGCGTCGCGAGGTCTGCCTCCCACTTGGCAATCGACTTGCGAAGCGTCGCGTGGTGTTTTTGAGTTTTCTGCGTAGGACAATAGTGTACTCTATGGGCTATATAACACGCAATCGCGATATACCTTGGTGACCGTTTGGAGTTTGGCGGCGGTCTTCTTGCGCGCCTGGACGCGGTTCTTCTCGGCTTTGACATTGGCTTTGGCATCTGCGATCGCGCGCGCCAGGTTCGCCATCCACTGCTTTCCCTGCTCTTCGGCCGTCTTTTCGAAAAATACAATGCCTATCCCACCTGTCATCCCATCTTTTATAGACAATAATGTACCTTCTTCTGAGTTGATAAAGGCGACGCATTTGCGCTTCATGGCGTTGCTGAGGCGCTCGCGCCGAGAATTGAGGTACGTGTCGCCCTGCATTTCCTTGTACTCCTCGGTCGTCACCATCTTGACGCGCACGAGGCACGCGTTGCGCTCGCACGCGTACCCGAGCGAGAGCAGAGCGCACGGCGTGCGGACACCCGTCGCCGCGTCGGCGCACATGCATTTGCGGAAGCGCGCCTTGCGACAAGTTGGCTTCGGATTCTGTGTTGCTCTTATGTACCGTCTCGTTAACGAGGCCCGCGGTGCTGTACTCGTCGTCGTAGTAGGTGAGCGCGTCGATGATGTCATCGAGGCTGCGCTCGAAGAAAGCTTTGGGCACCTCGGGGTGGTGCTGCGCGTCCATGAGGGGGCGAAGAGCCGGTAAAATGTCCTAGCAGTCGTGTGCCTCACAGCCTAATCAATCCCAGCTGCGTACGCTCGCAAAGGCCGGTAGGACGACGGCAAAGAACTCGAGCTTCGTGCCTTGAAACGTCCTATGGACACCTGGCTCGATGTACGCAGCAAAGTCGGTCCACTGGTTCTGCTCTTTGTGTGCCTCGACGTAGCTCAAGGCGGCCGCGAGTTGCTCGACGATCTGTCGGCGCTCCATGCGAAGCCACGCCAGGTACTGCTTGAGGACAAACGCAACAACGGCAGATGGCCCTTCGTATATGACGTCGAGCGGCGGCGACACCATCGGGTTGTGCTCCATGTGAATCTCCTGAAGCGAGCTCAGATGCCGGAATGAAAACGGCAGCTCCCGGATGTGATTCCAGTCGAGGCGTAAACAGCGCAGCTTTGGGAGGAGCCCAAAGGCGTCGGGTAGTAACGTGATGGCGTTGTTCGCTGCCGAGAGCGAAGTAAGAGACGGCAGGCCGCAGATCGTCGCGGGAAGCCCCTTGAGGTGGTTACTACTCGCGAGTTGAATGCCTAGCAATAGGAGTTGTGGAGATGTACAAGTTGATCGAGAGCGTCGTCAGGTTGTTGAACTCAGGCAGCGCCAGATCCCAGTGTACAAAGGCGTTGCAGCTAAGGTTCACGACGGTGCTCCGGAGTTGGCCAAACGTCACCGGCGTCGATGTCAGCTGGTTCTTCTCGGCCCACACCTTTTGCAGCCGGACGAGGCGGCCCTAGTCACAAGCTTACATCGATCCCTCGCTATGATACGTACAAAGTTGGCCGGGAGCTCTTGGAGCTGGTTGTTGCTCAGGTTGAGTGACGTGAGGCGGTCGAGGTCGCACTAGATAAAGCTCAGCGCCATCGACGCACCACAGCCTTGTACAATCGAATCTGGGAGACGCCGGAGCTGGTTCTTGGTCACGTCAATGTCGGTGAGGTGCACCAGAAGCCCAATCTAGTTCGCTTTGTGAGCAAAGCTACAAGCAAAACACGTGCATTTTCGGGCAGCGACTCGAGGGCGTTGGCAATGAGCGAGAGACATTCGAGGAGCGGCAGGGACGTGGCAAGCTCCAGCGGCAACTCGGTGAGCGCGTAGCCCGTGATGCGCACGGCGACGAGCTCGTGGAAGCCGAAGACGCGGTCCCAGCGGAAAAAGTCAATGTCGCCTCTCCACGATATATTGAGCTCATTGTGGAGCAAACACGCCGAGGCGAACGGACTCCAGAGCTTGTCTTTGGTGACTTCAAGCGCGTCCGCTGCGATCTGGGCCTCCTTGGCCTTTTGTCGGCCGCGCTCGAGGACCTTGGCGTCGATCCACGCCTGCCGCTCCTCCCGCGACTGCATCGATTTGCGACAGTTACGCCCCTTTGTGCAGGACAACTACAAGCTGCGCGAGGCCGGCTTCTTTACTCGACCAGGCAGCTCGGTTCCATGGCGTCTCCTGTGCCAGCTGCCCTCGACGTTGGACCAACAACACTGACTACCAAGGCTACTCGTCTGCTCACTGGCAGTCGACGCAGCTCTTGAGACTTGAGGCTGGCAGTCGACGCAGCTCTTGAGACTTGAGGCTTTGAGGTGTTGGTGCAGTTGCTATACTGATGTAGGCATCGCAAGTGGGAGAAGTACATCGATCGGACACCGATCTACCCGACTTGCCGCAAGCCAGCCACGTTATTCGTTATCGCTACGCACGGCAAGCTCTTACTCACGCCAGCTTGATGACGCCGGACGCACGCTTCCGTCAAGGAAGTACAATGATGGTGCAGGGCGACGACGTACATGGAACCCAATTTGACCCAACTCGAATGTTTCGCCCAGTTATTACCAGTTGAGCAAAGAAGGTCGCCGGCCTTTACGACGGCGACAAACTTAAAAGCTTGATTCTCAATCTCAAAGTGAAAGTTCGAGAAAGGTATCTCCAAAAGTGTCACGGGTGTCTGGCCTCGGATGGTTTCAAGTCCCTTGCATCCGGCTCGAAATACCCGCGAACCCGAGTCAAGGGCTATTTCTGCGCGCGAAAAGACTGCCGGCCGTTGCGCAACCGCCGCCCGCTCTGCTGCCTCTACCCCCCTCCTGGGTTCGCGAGCCTGCGTCAACGAGCTCATATATCCACCTTGTACAGCCACAGGCAGCCGTTTGCCAAGGCGATTCGGAAGATCGAGGTCTCGCCGCTTGTTGCTTTGCACGAGGAAACCCCCGGAGAAGTGTGGCATTTATGCAGCCTAAACTCGGATTCGACCTCAACTTGGCTACTTTTAGCTTTTTAACGCCGACTTTGCCATTGCCCAATTTGCAGGAATGGACTCTGAAAACGCGGCCAACGGGCCAGACGACAAGGCCGTGCCCGTCGCGGAGCCCGAGGTCGAGGTGCGCCCGCCGCTCTGCGTGCGCCAAGCGTCGTTCATGGTGCCCGAGGCGCTGCCGCCGGACGCGGAGATCCCGAGCGTCTACTCGGAGATGCACTTCAAGGGCATGCAAGACCCGTACTCGACGTCGCCCAACGTCTTTATGAGCACGCTCAACGCTGCGAGTATCGACACGATGCTCAGCGGCGGCCTCAAGAAATTCTTTGAAAAATACAACAAGCTCGCCGAGACGACCAACCTGCAGCTACAGACGCCCGAGATCCGCTTCCACAACATCTCGTTCTCGGCGCAAACGAGTGCCAACTCGCTTGCGTCCGGCACGGTCGGCAGCTACCTCCGAGAGCTCTTCCTTCCGTGCTGCTGCAAGCCGCCGAGCGTCGAGAAGTCTGTGCTGCACCCAATGTCCGGTATCATTCCGCCCGGCAGCATGACCTTGGTACGACATCTTGGTACGCACATCATTTCTGATGGAATCGATAGCTTTTGGCGAGTCCGGGCTCGGGCAAGACGACCTTTCTCAAGGCGCTTGCCAACAAACTCCCAACGAAGCGAACCAAGATCGACGGCAGCGTCACGTACAGCGGCCTGACGGCGGACCAGCTCGACCTGCGCAAACTTGTGGGGCTCGTTGACCAGCGGGACAACCACTGTGCGACCATGACCGTGCGCGAGACGCTCAAGTTTGCGGACCAGTGCCTCAACGGCCACCCGAAGAAGAAGCGATCCGGGGCGTCTTCGCCGAGCAAAGCCGAGGACAAGATGGCCGACGTTGCCAACCTACGGACGGAGCTCTACCTCTACATCCTCGGTCTTTCCAACTGCGCCGATACAGTCGTCGGCGACGCGCTTCTGCGTGGCGTGAGCGGCGGCGAGCGCAAGCGTGTGACCGTGGGCGAGATGCTCGTCGGCGGCCAAAGCATTTTCCTCTGCGACGAGATCAGCACGGGCCTCGACTCAGCAGCCACCTTTGACATTGTCAACGCACTCCGCACTTGGACGAAAACGCTCGGCGGTAGCTGCATCGTGGCTCTCTTGCAGCCGCCCCCTGAGGTCGTCGAGCTCTTCGATGACATTTTGCTGCTCGCAGATGGGCATCTGGTACGTACCAGATAACATTCGAGTCCAATCTCGATTGAACGCGACGGGTAGGTGTACCACGGACCCCGCACGTCGACGCTGCCGTACTTTCAGACGCTTGGGTTTGTGTGCCCGACGCGGACCGACCCGTCCGACTTTTTGCTCGAGGTCGTTGCTGGCAGCGGTGCCAAGTACTTCAATCTCGGTGCGTCTCAACGCTCCATCTGGAAATCTTATATCAAAGCATAGACCACCCGACGCCGGCGCCCACCTCGTCCGAGGCCTTTGGCAAGGCGTTTGTCGCGTCCGCTCTGCACGCAGCGGTGCGCCTGCGCCTCAAGAACGGCGAGCTGCTCCACGATGTGACCAGCGTCAAGCGACTCGCGTTTCTCGCGCGCAAGACCAAGATGTTTAGCCTGGCGTTCTGGGAGAGCACCAAGCTCCTCACGGCGCGCCAAATCATTTTCTGGACGCGTGACAAGGAGCTTCTTTGGGGTAAGCTGATCGAAGCGTGCGCCGAGGGTCTGCTTCTCGGCATCATCTACCTCGACGTCGACGCCTCGCTCTACATGCGGATGCTCTTCTTTACGATTGCGATCTTTCAGGTGCGTCCGACTCAAATTCAACGCACCCCTGATCGCTGATCGTAGCGCCACGCGTGGCAGCGCATCACGATTTCGTTTGGCGTGCGCAGCGTCTTCTACAAGCAGCGGTCGCGCAACTTCTTCCGGACAGCGTCGTACGCAATCGCCGAGGCCGTCGTCCAGATCCCCATCAACCTCGTCGTCGCGGTCGTCCTCGGCACCATCTTTTACTTTATGAGCGGCCTCGCGACCGAGACGACCGTCTTCTTCACGTACCTCGCGATCCTCGTCGTCTTCCAGCACGCAATTGCAGCGTACTTTACGCTCCTGAGCTCGGTCGCGCCGACGATCAACGCGGCGCAGTCGCTCGCGGCGTGCTCGATCGTCTTCTTCCTCCTCTTCTCGGGCAACATCATCCTCTCGGACCTTATTCCGTCGTATTGGCGCTGGATGTACTGGTACAACCCGCTCGCGTGGGCGCTCCGCGCCATCATGCTCAACGAATTCAACAGCTCGCGCTACACGCCGGCGGCCCGGGCCACGAGGCTCGATGCCTTCCAGATCCGCGAAGGCGACGAGTACATTGGGTACGGGCTCTTGGTGCTCCTCGGCTACTATCTCCTCTTTACGACTCTGAACGCGCTCGCATTGCACTACATTCGGTACGACACCCAAGTGCGCCCGGCGACGCCGCCACCGCCCGTCACGGACGCGACGGTTGTGACCATCGACGCACCACCGACGCAGCTCCCGTTCTACCCCGCGCGCATCGCGGTTCGCGATCTCGACTACTACGTGACGCTGCCAACGGGCGAAGAGCGGCAGCTGCTGCACCACGTGACCGCGGCGTTTGAGCCGGGCACGATGACCGCGCTCATGGGTTCGTCTGGCGCGGGCAAGACGACTTTCATGGACGTACTTGCGGGTCGCAAGACGGGCGGACGCATCGTCGGCGACGTCTTCATCAACGGTGAGCCCAAGAACCCCGCGACCTTTAGCTGCATCGCCAGCTACTGCGAGCAGATGGACATCCACTCGGAGAAGTCAACGATCCGCGAGGCGCTCGAGTTTTCAGCGTTTCTGCGGCTGCCGCAGACGTTTGAAAACGACGCCAAGCTCAGCTTGGTGCGCGAGACCTTGACGCTCCTCGAGCTCGACAAGATCGCCCACGAACGCGTCCTGAACCTCAGCGTCGAGCAGAAGAAGCGCGTCACGATCGGTGTCGAAGTCGTCGCCAACCCGAGCATTCTCTTTTTGGACGAGCCGACATCGGGGTTGGACGCCCGCTCGGCGCAGATCGTCATGCGCGGAGTCCAGTCGATCGCACGCACGGGGCGCACGGTCGTGTGTACGATCCACCAGCCCAGCATCCAAATCTTTGAGCTCTTTGACGCGCTTCTCCTGCTGCAAAAAGGCGGTCATGTCGCGTTCTGCGGCGAGCTCGGCGCCGACTCGCAAAAGCTGCTCGAGTACTTTCACTCGATCCCGGGGACCGAGAAGATCCAGCCGCTCTACAACCCCGCGACGTACATGCTCGAGGTGATTGGCGCCGGCATTGGCCGCAAGGACATCAAGAATTACGCCGACGTCTATGCGAGCAGCGACCTCTGCGCATCGAACCGCAGCAAAGTGGAGCGGTTCCTGGCCGTGTCGCCGGACCTCGTGACGTTTTCATCACTGCCGTTCCAGCCGATCGCGACGAGCCTCGCGAACCAGACGCGCTGGCTCACGCACCGGACCGTGCACATGTATTGGCGGTCGCCCGCCTACAACTTTGTGCGGCTCGTGTCATATCCCGTCTTTGCCGTCATCTTTGGCAGCACGTTCTACCAGCTGCCATTCGGCACTGTGGCGCGCGTCAACTCGCATGTCGGCCTCATCTACAACAGCATGGACTTCATCGGCGTCATCAACATGATGACGGTGCTCGACATGGCGACGGCCGAGCGCGCAGTCTACTACCGCGAACGCATGTCCAACTACTACAGCCCGCTGCCGTACTCGGCGTCCTTGCTGCTGGCGGAGATGCCGTACCTGCTCACGGTCATCATCAGCTTTGTCGCGATCGAGTACTGGATGGTCGGCTGGTTCAACGACGCGGCCACCTTCTTCTTCTTCTGGTTCATCTACTTCGTGTACACCTCCCTGTGCACATTCATGGGCATGTGGATGGCCGTGCTCATGCCCAACATCAAGGTCGCCAACGTCGCTGTTGGCGCCATCTCATGCGTCTTCAACCTCTTTGGCGGCTTCCTCCTCCCGTTCGCCCGCATGAAGTGGGGCTACAAGTGGCTCACGTGGATCATTCCGTCGAGCTACTCGCTCAACGTGCTCATCGGGCTCGTCATTGGGCACTGCGACGATGGCGTCGGACCCGGCTGCAACCCGATCCTGATCGACGGCCAGCCGACGACGGTCAAGTCGTATGTCGTGACCAGATTTGGGTTTGATCCGGCCGAGATTTACTCGAGCAGCGGCGCGCTCCTCATCGAGTGGGCGCTGCTCCAAGTGTTCATCTACCTCACGCTGCGTTTCGTGTGCCACCTCAAGCGCTAACATCCGTGCCGTGCACTGAGCTAACTGCATTCAACGTCGACGATAAGAGACTGGTGGTAAACTTGATAAATTGATACATTGAACGAAATACCATAGTTTACAACGACGTCGGTCGCACTTGTCGGCAACGCCTATCGTATGGTGACACAGCGCGACCGTTGGCACAAACGGACACGACACCAGCCAATCAAATGCGTCGATTCGGTATCTTTTGATCCTCAAAGCTTCGACAACAGTCGAGTTGGACTCACTGACAATGGGCGCGTCCAGCTCCATGAAGAAGGCCGTGACGCTCTCGGCAAAGATCGTCGACGTCGAGATCGACGCGTTCGGCGGCTTTATGTACGGGCTCGCAGACCAGCACGAAGTGCAGCACTACCTCCCGCCGCAGTTTCCCATCATCCCGCGGCTGACGCAACCCAACATTGAGATTTGCCGGCGCACGTGGGACCTCATCCAGACTGCTGGCACGGACAAGATGAAGCAGTACGGGAAGCCCGGCATCATCCTCTTCTACGACGAGTTCTTTCACCGCATCTTCGAGCGCGACGCGACGATCCGCGAGGTCTTTCCCAAGGTCCAGCAGCGCGCCGAAGTGTTGATCAAGGCGATCAGCTTCATCCTTGCGACCCGCGCTGGTACACATCTCTGCGACTTGCTTGTGGCATGACGCGTTCTCAGGGACGCCCGCCAGTGTCGAGGAAACCGTGACGACGTGTCGCTTCCTCGGACACAAGCACCGCTCGTTTGCCAAGGTAGTTGCTCCTCCTCGTCGCGCCGATAAGATCTGACAAGGTCAAGTAGGTCCGGCCGCACCATTTTGCGCAATATACCAACACGTGTATTGAAGTGCTCATGTACTGGCTCGGCGAGGCCGCGTCGCATGACGTGGGCATGGCGTGGAGCCACACTGTCGGGTTGGTGTTGCTGTCTGCGTACCGGGTGTCACTGCTCGCGCCGCCGTAGGTTTGTGCTGCGGCATATCTTAGAGGCCTTTCTCTTCCAGCGCACGGACCCGTACGAGTCGTACCAGGTGACAACGATCGCAGCCGTGCGCGAGATCACAGAGTCGTCCGTGGGCTCTGCCTCGCGCACGGAGAAGGCGAGCCGTCTGAACAAGTAGAGTCGCTTGCGTGCTGCCACGTACGGCTCTGAACGTGTGTTTCGATTGGCCAAAATGCATTTTCATCTGGCCCAATCCGCAGCGTGGGCGATGGGTGGTTGGGGATGTTTAGGGTTTTCATACAAATTCCAAGTACAAATCGGTGGGGACCTGAACCGCGCGCTGTGATTGGACAAAAATCATGGCGAGCGCCGCCCGAAGCGCCATACAAATTCCAAGGCATTCGCGGATTTCGGCGAAGGAACCCCCAAGCCTACCCCACCCTCACGCTACCCTAACGCAACTTCAAGATGATGGACGAGGGTACCCTCGCTGATGCGATCTTGGCGGCTCATGGCATGTGGTGCTAGTGGTTAGCGCGGACCAGATCTACCAGGTCCAGCTCGCCCACCAGCAGCAGCTCCACGCGCAGCTGCAGCAGGTCAGCGCCAACGTCGCCCAGCAGCTCGCGGCCGCGTCGACCGCCAGCTTTCCCTTTCCTCGCAACTCGCCCGACTTCGCGTGCGAGAACGTCGGCGACCGCATCAAGGGCAAGCGCCGCAAGTACTGCCCGCACGAGGTCACGGCGCTCGTGCTCGGCGTCCAGCGCTACGCCGACGACAGCTGCCCGTGGAGCAGCATCCTCCGCGACCCGCACCTTGGCCCGCTCTTCCACGGCCGGTCGGGCGTGGATCTCAAGGACAAGTGGCGCACGCTCATCAAGACCCGACCCGACCTCGCAAGCTATACGGAGAACCGGAAGAACCACCGCAAGTACCGCCCGTTCACGGCCATGGAAGAGCGCGCGCTCATCGAGGGCGTGAAAAAGTACAACGGCCAGCGCAACGTGTGGAGCCTCATCCTAGTCGACAAGGACCTCGGCGTGCAGTTCAACGACCGCTCCAACGTGCAGCTCAAGGACAAGTACCGGACCCTGCGGCGGTCCGGGCTCGTCAACACAGTCTCGGTCTCGACGCCAAGCAACCGCAAGGCCAACCGCCCCGGCAAGCTCGGGCTCATGCGCGGTCCGCTCTCGCCCAAGAGCCGGCAGACACTCAACGCGGCGGCAGCACAGCTCGCGAGCAGCTCACTCTTGCAGCAGCAGCAGTCGATGTTTACCGACCCGAATCTCTTCATGTCGACGCAGCTCAACCTTGGTCAGCTCGGACAGCTCACGATCGCGCAAGCCCAAGCCCAAGTGCAAGCGCAGCTGCAGGCCACCGTGCAGGCCACCGTGCAGTCCCAGTCGCAAGCCGCCCAGGCCGCCCAAGCCAAAACGTTCTCGCAGATGCTGGCGGCCGCCAACTCGAGCTACAACAATGCGCTGCCTGCGTTCATGATGTCGGGCTCGGCCTCGCCACAGAACGCCCTCTCATTTTACAACTCGGCGACCGGATCGCCGCAGCCCGCAGGCGAGACCACCAAGCGCAACGGCAAGGGCGTGCGCAGCGGCAAGGCCCCCAAGGCTCTGCTCGCGTCGACAACGCCAAAGGTCAAGAACGTCCTCGACAAGATGGACGCGCCGCTGTCACCGCCGCTGCTCGACAACATGATCCCGATGCCTGCCTCGGTGCAAAACAGCGGCCGGCCGACCGGATTCTGAGATTTTGATTTGACGTTGAGTAGGACATGTAGGTAGTTTTATGAATATGGCGTGATCAGTGGTGCATCAGCTGCGTACGGAGCTCGTGCACGTTCGGCGACGCAAGGTCCAGCGTCAGGTGGTAGCGCGGTGTCGCCTCCAAGCAGCTCACAATCTATTTGTATCAATGTTTCAAGTTGGTACATCATGGCGCAAATACCGAGGCGGCGACCGACGCAGGCACCAAGCAAAGACCTTGAAAAAGCCCAACGAGCATGTCTTCCGAGAGGACACTGCCAATCGCGTGCTCGAAATCGTCGAGTGGGAGACTCGAAAGCAGCTACCGTCGCAACGTGACGGCGGGTCGTCACCCGAATCTCACTCTACCTTGGCCATCGCATCCGGGTTCGCCTTGGCCTTCAAGAGCCGTCGCCCGGTCGTCGTCGAGAAGGGCTGCGCCGACATCGACGTCGAGACCGGCTTGGTCGGCTTCTTCTTTGCCATAGCCGCCTTGGGCTTGGCATGTACCGACGACACCTCATCTTGGTTGTTGGAAGTCGCCGTGCCCTCCTTCTTGGGCAGAGCAGGTGCAAGAACAGCGTCCTTGGGACCCGACACCGGCTTGGGATGTTTGCGCTGCAAGAGCGCTTCGACAAGCGCCTACGACGCCTCATGGGCTCATCATTATGGCTATCGATCGGTGACGACGCACCTGCTCTTTGGCGTCCTTGGACATGGCCCGCGCCTACGCCAACAGCACGCTTCACCACCATAAGAGCGTCGCGTTGTGTACCGCTGCTTTCATGGCCGAGAGGCGCTGGATGGCGTCGTGCAGTGGCTTTGCCTCGTCGCAGCCGTCGACGTGTTCGTGGAGAACCGAGAGAGCGCGGTCCAACTGCGCGAGCTGCGTCAAGGCGTCTGCGAGCTGTAGCGCCCAACGGCCACGCTCGCTCGGCGTCGGCGGATGCTCCAAACCGGTCTGCAGGTCCCCTATGGCTCTACGCATCCTCATGAACATGAACTTGATGCGAGATGCGAGACGTACGCCTGGGCGTTGCCTGCGGCCAAGTGCGCTGCCCCACGGAGCGCAAAGGCGCGCTGGCGCTCGGCTGGCGGAAGGGCGTCGGCGTTGTTATCGCCGTCCAAGACATCGGTACAGAGCTCGAGGACACGGTCGAAGGCCTTGTTCATGAACGCGTCGCTCGCTTCCTGCACAAGTTGCATCTCTCTCGGGTACTCGACGCCGGCGAGGCTCAAGCTGGCCGTGGCGTCGGCGGCTGGCCATCGGTTAAAGTCGGCAAAGACGTTGGTCGCAAGCTCGGCTTCGTCGGGCGACGCGCTCGTTGTCCATGTCTCCAAGGATGCCAAGAGGGCGGAGCTGAGGCGGAGCTCGCCTTTCGTATACAGCTTGCGCACCCAGCTCATGTAGAATGCGAGGATCTGGAGCGCGCAGAACGAGAGTTCGGGCGTCGCCTGGTTGCTCACGAGCTGCTGCACGATCGACGCGCTGTTGGGCAGCAAGAGCATCTTGTGGTGTAGTGCCTTCTCGAACGACGTCGTCGGCTGCTGGAACCAGTCGAACGCAGGATTGCTCGTGAGCTAGCATAGACGATGATGTCTTGGTGCACTCGGAAGGGAGGTTGCACCTGCGTGAACGTGTCGAGGGCTTGACCACGCATGTGGATGTCCTCGTGGTCAAACATGCTCACGAGCGTCACGAGACCATCCTGTAGAGCGCATGCATCATGAGGTGGCCACGAGGAGTGTGCTTCGTACGTGCAAGATGAACTCGCTGGCGAACGACCATTCTTGGGCGTGGCAGAGGTACATCATGGCCAAGTATCGCTGACACGTGATCGCGCAGGGGTGCGTTGCCGGTGCGCCATGCGGCGGCCCTTGCACGAGCGCCGCATACCACTGCCCATCTGCGGCCGTAGGCTCGAAGAGCAGTTGTCGTGCACGGTCGTCCGTGAGCCGCTTCCGAAGCACCTCCTCGACGCTGGCCGTTGCCGGCGCCTCGTAGTAGGCTTCAAACTTGGCCACCAAGGCCTCGCGGAGCTCTTCCGGGAACGGTGCGATCGCATGCGCCAGCGTCGCCTGGACGACCTCCATGCTCCTGACGATGGCTCCGAAAGATTTTCTGTGGAGCTTCCAAAAACCAGGAAGATGTTTTAAACACTGTTTCATTCGTGTTGGATTCGATTTACGCTTCAGCGTGCTCGATGGTGTAGACGGCCATGGCGAGCGCGCCCTCGTACGTCTTGTTGCCGCCGATGAAGCCGCCCGCGTGGACAAAGGTGCAGCCGGGAATACCCGCGATCGTGCTGAGCTCGTCGTCGCGGAAGCCGCGCCAGGCGGCGGGCAGGCCCATGCGCAGCGCAAACTTGCCGTCCTCGACGTTCACGGCCTGGATGCGCCACATGCCGCCAAGGCTGTCTTCGTAGAGCACAAACTTGATCTGGCCCGAGATGAGGAGCTCGTCCTCGATCGCGTACAGATGCGCCTTCCACGGGCAGTACGGGAGCGTGAGGATCTCGCCCGACTTGTGCACAGTGAAGCGCCCGGCGAGCGCCGTCTCGACGATCGTGCGCGCCGGCAGCCACGCCTCGTAGTAGTAGCGGACGCGCTCGACAAACTCGGAAATCGTGAGCAGCATCGCGTCATGGAAGCGCGCGTTGACCACATCGTCGGTCTGCGGCTCGTTCCAGCGAGCGTTTAAGTAGCCGACGCGCGAGCTCAGCGACGTCGTGATGCTGTAGTTCTGCGTGCCCGTCGCGACCTCGACGCCGTTGTCGATGCCATCAATGTGCTCGATGAAGCCCTTGTACATCTTGTGGTACATGATGTCGAGGACCTTGTCGCTGAGCGTGCCATCGCAGATGGTCTGGATGATGTCCCGGCCAAAGTGCCTAATCGACATATCGATCCTGCATATGCAATAGCTTCAACCTACTTGTAGACAAGGCCAGCGCTCGAGAGCTTCGTCGGCTCGCCGTCCATAGTCCCCGTGAACGTCTTTTGATGGTGGTCGAACCGGATCGCATCCGGGTTGTACTCGCCGCCGACGTCGACGACCGCGTCGCAGCCCGCGAGCTTGGCCATGTCGCGCGTGCGGAGGATGTCTACGCCACGTCATTAGTGCATTCCTCATCAGAGAGAAGCTGTACCATGCGCCTCAAACCGCGGAAGGATCTTGAGCATCGAGACCGCGAGCGCTTCGTCGCAGTGGAACGTGCCATTGTGCGTGCCAATGTACTTGGTGCCCTAGCGCAGCGCCATGAGCATGGGCCAGAGGTAGGTAGAGAATGACATCGTACAGGCGCAATGGCCGAGAAGACCTTGGCCTGCTGGACCTTGGCGATCGACTTGTGGAGAGCGCGGCCAGCCATTGCTATCGTGCGGATTTTTGGATAATGTTACCACTGGTGTTGAAGTTCCCTCCATTTTGTATACCTGCAGGTATGCGTTTTGAGAGGTTCGCGCTGTCCGCCCGCCACGTGCGCTGGGCGCTCCGGTGCCGGTGCGAGGCCTCTCCCTGCGTCTCTATCTTCGACCATGTAGCCATGAACGGCTCGGAGAGGCTGTCCTCGATGGCGGAGCAAAGGATATGTGATGCGGTGTCAATTCGCTTTGCTCAGTGCAGTCGCACTCTGCGGCCGCCACGTTTTTATCTTCTTTGGTTGCCCTGAATCCTGGCATTCGCCGTGCGTACTCGGCACCACCTAGGCCTCTTCAAGGGCATTAGCGTTGACACGAGTGGATCATCTTTGCCCAGGCGGCGTGCTGCTGCTGACTCAACGTCCAAGTCTCAAACGACGTCCATGCTCGGAGCTTTTGATGTATGCTTTTTCGCCTTGATGGCAAGCCGAGAGGCGCGGTCAACGACTGCAGCTAGGTGACAGGAGGGTCACTGGAGAGAAAGTCTACCGGGTATGTCGTCGTACGTGGAGCTGTTCCTGCAGTCTCTCTTTCTACGGGTGACTGGGCGCTTCGATGGGTTGTACTGGATAAGCGAATTGCGGGATGCAATTTTCCCTTGCGCAAGATATTTCGTTTTTGGTTGACTGCGGGCATGAAGTACACCAAGTTTACGCACGAGATGGACGTCTTCCTCCTCGAGAGCCTCCAGGTGAGCAACCCGATGCTGGCGCCGCATGGGTCGCGCCTCGCCGCGTGGAAGGAGCTCGCGCAGACGCTTGGCACGCGCGTCTGCAACAACGAGGCCGCGTGCACGTGGCAGATCTGCCGGTACAGCCATCGCCCATGGTGTGTGCGTGATGCAGCGATGCGTAGGGACCGCGCCAAGGCCCTTCTGCATATGCACGAGCACGGGCAGGAGAAGAAGCTCTTCAAGAACAGCGCGTCGCACCACGACCTGAAGCGCAAGGAAGCGCTCATCGTCGCGCTGCGCGAGACGCTGCCAGAGAAACGGGCCAGTGCGATCCTCAAGAAGGACAAGCCCGCAGGCGTCAAGAAGAAGATGGCGCCGCTCTCAGCGCCGGCACGGGTCGCGTCGTCGTCGCTGCAGCCGCTGCGACCGCTGCTCAAGCAAGAGAACACATCGCCCAACCCAGCGCCAGTGCTGGTGCCAACTCCGACGGCGCTCAAAGCACCCATAAGTCGCAAGCGCAAGGAGATGCATGTCGAGCCCGACGTCGACGCCCGGCTGCGCGTCCTCACGACCGCGGTCGAGACCAAGATTCGAGACGACATGGAGACGCGGGCGACAGATCTGCGCCTGCGGCAGCAGGAGCTTGAGATGCACCAGCAGATTCTGCGGTATCTCGAGACCAACATGTCGTATACGACTTCCTCGTACATATGTATCTCATGAGATCGTAGGCCCGCCGGCGCGGTGCCCGAGAAGCTCGTCGATCTCATCGAGCGCAAGATGAGCTTTGACATGGAGCACCGGAAGCGCGACCTCGAGCTGCGCCAAGCCGAGATCATCTTCCAGAACCAGCTTCTGCGCTACCTCACGCATGGCGGCGGCGAGTAGCCCATAGCACCCTCCCTTTGTTGTTGCATGCCTCCTCTATCTATGACATGTTCTCTGTCTACCTCGCTTGCATATTGATGCTATCTTCCTGAGGTTGACGTAGTACATATATGAGGTGGATCATTTCTCCTGGCGCTGGTTGCAGGACACGCGCTTGGCGTCCGCGCGCGTCGCCTTCGCATCGTCGTCCTCGTCGGGTGTGAAGGCCTTGGCCTCGGCGGCGAGGCGCTCGAGGAGCTCGCGGATGTTGCCTTGAATCGTACTCAGCTCCTTCTTGGTCTGCGTGTAGTTCCAGTCCTTCTCCTGGAGCGACCGCTCGCGCTTCATCGTGCGCTGCTGCTTGGGGTCGCACTCGAGGTCTTCGTGGATCTCCTCGTCCGCGATCTCGGGGATGTCGTCCGTCATCTTGGCCGTGAACGACTTGCAGCGCACGGCGAGGTCCTGGAGCGCGCAAGAGAGCTCGAGCTCGGCGTCCTCGTCCACGCTCTCGCAGCTGTCTTCGAGGTTCATCTTCCAAATATGGACCCATCGCCAACGGCCTCATGGCGTAACCGACCTCGAGCCGTCGCCATCGTCCAGACGTCGTCTTGGCTAGCGCATCGCCATGCGTCTTCGTCTACCTGCGAACGACGTCGTATGCCCCTTCGCAGCGGCTTGGTCGGTGCCGGCTCGCGCTTGGCTAGGCATAGTATTTTGATGCACATTTAAAGTACACTTGGGTTTTGTAAGCAAATGCGCGAAAAGAATAAAAACGCCCGCTCGCTTCGTTCTTGAAGCAGCGAACCAGTAACTTGATCCCATTCCATTTTGACCACAGAAGAGGCAAGCGGACAAACATGAACGTGGATCTGGACGTCGCGCAGCTCGAGGCCGAGGCCGAGGCCATTGAGAACAACACGCAGGTCGTCGACCAGGAGATTGAGGACATGAAGCGCCGCGTGCAGGAGATGGAAGAGGAAGCGCAGAAGCTCAACCAGATGCACAGCCACGTCCAGTCGCAGATCCCGAAGGACGCGGCCGCGACCGCCGCCGCTGCCGCCGCCGCCATGGACGAGAACTCGATTTACGTTGGCCAGGTCGACTACGAAGCCACGCCCGAGGAGCTCCAGGCGCTCTTCCAGAGCTGTGGTACCATCAACCGCGTCACGATCCTCTGCGATAAGTTCACGGGCCAGCCCAAGGGCTACGCGTACATCGAGTTTGCGAGCCACGACGCGGTCGAGAGCGCGTGCCTCCTCAACGACACGAGCTTCCGCGGCCGTCAGCTCAAGGTCACGCCCAAGCGCGTCAACGAGCGGGGCTTTAACTTTGCCCAGCGCGGTGGCCGCGGTGGTCGTGGCGGCCGGGGCCGTGGCGGCTTTGGCGGCCGTGGCGGCTTCAACCCCAACTTTGGTGGCCGTGGCGGCTACGCGCCCCGCGGTGGTCGCGGACGTGGCCGTGGCCGGGGCCCGGCGTACCACCCGTACGCGTATTAAAAGAACCATTTCGGTCTTAAAAGAATGCTTTTAAAAAAAGAGGGAGTAAAAAAAAAGAAAAAAGATCCGATTCCCCCACGCCCACTTGACCGGACCTCATTGCCCACCAAGCTCATGCAAGCTTCTTGGACGGCCGCTTGGAGCCGGGCGCGGCCGCCGCCGACTTGCGCTTGAGACTCCCGCCCTTGGACGCGACCTTGGACGCAGCTGCTACACACGTGGCGCCATGAGCAAGCACCAAGACGAGCGTTGGCATCGTACTGCTGGGCGGCGCGACGAGCGTCGTGATGACAGGCGCGTCGCCGCCGTCCGCCTTGCCCTCCAGGGGCATTGCGTGAAGCTGCGTTCTCGGTACGTGCACCGCGCCTGTGATCGCTTGGTACTTTGCGCTGAGCGCATGCACCTCGTTGGACTTGACCGCGAGGGCCTTCTTGACCGCGAGGAGGCCGAGGATGTCCTGGCGCACGCTGTCGTACGCGGTGCAGACCTGCTTGGTGGGCATTGGGCGTGGCGGCATGTGAAACTAACACGAATCTACAGCCCTTGCGACTTGATTTGCAGCGGTGTACCTCTTCGAGCACCAGTGCCATCTTGCGCAGGAGCTTGCCGCTGAGGCCCATCTTGGCGGTTGTCGACGGCAGTGCTTGGGTCGTACTGCGAAAGTAGACGCCGGGTGGCATGGGCGCGTGCACAATCTGATGGCGCACGTCCGCCAGCTCCTACGCCAGCGGTGCAGAGCGATGAGGAGGTGGAAGGTGTCTACCTTGCGCTTCTTCATGTCGACACGCACGACAGCCTTCTTGAGCTGCGCCTCGATCGTCTTGAGCTCTTCTTGGAGCTTCTTGATGGCTGACTCTTCGGCGTTCGAGCGGTTGAATGACACTTCGAGCTGCGCCTTGCGCTGCTTCTCGTATGCTATGTGGAAGCGGTACGCGACCGGCTTTTCGACGACGGGAGCAAGAACGACCGGCGCGGGTTCAGGCTCTGTCGGCGGCGTCGCAGGTTCGGCCTCCTTGGTCTCTTCTTCGTCTGGGGTCTCCGCAGCCCCCTCGTCTTTGCTCGGCGTGCTGTCGGGGGCAGTGGCCTCGGGCATCTCGTTGGTTGCTTCGACGGCTTCGACCTCAATTTTGGGAACCTCGTCGACCACCGCCGGCGTCGTGTCCCGCCGCAGCTCGGAGAGCAGACGCGTCGCTTCGTAGTACCAATACTTGATGTCTTCCATCGTTCGCGCTGCGTGCTTTGCGCCAAAGTTGTACCGGTCCGTGACCACGACCCAGCGCAGCTCGTAGCGTTCGCAGACAGCCCAGAGCGCGACCGTCTCGTCGTACGTCCACGGCTGCGGAATCGCAGGGTCCACATAGTCCTTGAGCACCTTGTCAAACTCGTCGCTCGAACAGACGGGCGTGACGTGGCATGTGACGTTGAAGCGGGCGAACGGGTACTCGAGCCCTTCGGGCAGCGCGGCCTTGACCCAGTGCGACAGCACGAGGTCGTCTGTCCGTGCGCTGTTGCGAAACTCCCGGCGCAGCCTAGACATAGCGTCAGAGTCATCCTAGACGTGGGCCATACCATTTGACGCGCTGCGTCGACTTGACCAAGAGCGACTTCTTGAGCGGCAACGACGTCGTGGGCATTGACGAGACGTGCACGCGGCCGCCAAGGCCGAGGCCCAGTCCATGGTTGGCCTTCGATTCCTGCAGCAGAAGCAGCTCGCGGTGGATCTTGGACTTGGCCTTGGGCTTCTCTTCCTTCTTCACGGGCTTGGGCGTCGTCGCGGGCGCAGCGCCGCCCACGCCCAAGATGTCCGCGACATCCCCCATGATTTGATATTGGTTTCCAGAGGCTTCTACTTTTGCAGTGTACACTAAATAGGGAGCTTCGAAATTCTAGGTGTAAATTGATGTGCTACAGTAAATGATGTTACTTTTATTTTATTACAAAGTAACACTATTTAGAAATAGGATACTCGCAGAAGCCACCAACCGAAGCGGCAACGATGAGCAAGTGCGGTGACAATTTCCTCTTTCGCTATGTCGATGATCAGCGAAAACAAGGGGCTTTGTACTGCGCTAGCTCAGGGTTAGCGTGTCGGCGGCGGCTGGTTGTTCAAGAACACTATTTCTGCATGGGCAGGTGGTTTCTTTTCGGCCCGGCTACATCACTTGGGGTTTGTATGCTCGAAGATCCACATCAGACAATTACCTTATGCAAGACATTCGAAGGTGATCGCACGAATCAGCGTACTTTAAATGGCTGGAATGGTACTGTATAGAGGAATATCTATTTTTGAGCGACATCCCAAGGATCGCGACTCTTTACTAAGATCGAAGGCGCAGCCATCTCGACGTCAAAGACGAAGAAGATCATGACGCAGCAACATCGAGGAGAGTACGACGAGTACTTGATGGCCGACTCGATGGACGAGTACACGAAGCGCGACAAGGGCGGGAAGAAGGCGTGGACGCCCGACGAAGACCAGCAGATCGTCGCGCTCGTGGCCAAGCTCGGCTGCAAGCACTGGTCAAAGCTTGCCAAGATGATGCGCGAGCAAAACGCTGGCTGTGTTCGAAGCGGCAAGCAGTGCCGAGAGCGATGGCACAACCACCTCGGTACGACAGCGAATGCCCACCATTATGGTGCGACCGAGTTGCGTTTGTATAGACTCGACGATCAAGAAGGGACCTTGGACAAAGGAGGAAGAAGAGCTCCTGATCCGTGCTCACAACGAGCACGGCAACCAGTGGAGCAAGATCGCCAAGCTCTTTCACGGCCGAACAGACAACGCCATCAAAAACCGATGGTGGACACCATGACCTCGCGCCTCGTCCTCACGCCGCCACGTAGGTTTGCCAAGCAGCGCCGCGAGTCCCGCCGCACGGGCAAAGCCAACTCGCCATTCGATCATTTCGCTCACGTACGTCCCGCCCTGCGCCACGACATCGCTTTGACGAGCGAACGGCACACAGGACTCGGACGAATTGCAGCTGACACCACGACCAACCCACCGACTTCTGCACATGAGGTACATGTACACGCCCTCAGCAGCTCGAGATGCTGAGCCGAGTCTTTGTAGCGACATGATGAGCTCGCCACGCCACACCTGGATATCCCCGGTCAAGGCAGAGTACGTCAATCGTGAGATCGCTTCGACGTCACGCTTACTGGGACCACTCTACGCAGGCCTGCGCCGTCCGCGCTCTGGAGCGCACAAGGCGCGCTATACTCAAATGCGCCGTGGCGTTCATTGCAGCAGTACGCGACGTAACTCATGCACGCAATCTCACACTCTGCGACCATAGGATGGACGACATGTCTTCGTTCGACCTCGGTCTCATGGAAGGCTACTCGATGGACTATACGTCGGTGCACCACGGACTTCGCGACGACGCACCATACCATGACGACGATGGCGAGAGCAAGCCGTCTGCGCGGCTGCTACCGCTCATGGAGCTAGACTTGGATTGGACCGACAAGGTCCTGATTTAGCAAAATCGTCGTTGTTTCAAGTAGTTCGCCGTCCTTGCGTGCTTGTTAGCGTGGCCACGCCCATGCTTGAGGGTGATGCAGAGCACATGGGATGGGCTGCCGGCGCTCCAAACCTCCTTCGCAGCGCCGTGGGCGTTGCCGGACCCTTGAGGATCGCCGTATCTTCCACCAGTGGTGGCTGCACTTCGAACTTCGTATGTTGGTCGAAAATCGAAGTTCCCATACACAAGAGCTGGATTCGAAGCTCGATGGCCATCGAAGGAACGACGTTGCGAAGACGAGATCTGCATTTCGCAATTGCGATGGGCAAGGAAGACTCGGTGCAGTATGCGTCCGTCAAGATGCACGACGACGACGATGGCCTTCCGCTCGAGCCCATGCACATCAAGTCGACGCGCGACGTGGCGGGCGACGCCAAGGACTGGCGCAGCGTCTTCTGGTGGACGTTCGCCATCACGCCGTACGTCATTTTGCTCTGCCTCCTCTTTCTGAGCTCGACGGGCAACCTCTCGGAAGAGACGGATCTCAGCGTCGGCTGCGCGGCCCAGCGCCTTGAGAAGCTCCAGACGACGCGCAACGTCTTCTGGGACCAGTCGGTCGTGACCGACAAGACGCGGTTCGCAGCGATCGGGCAAAAGGGCGCTACGATCTGGATGACGGGTCTCTCGGGCTCGGGCAAGAGCACGATCGGCCGCGCGCTCGAGTCCGAGCTCATCCACCGCCGCGTGCAGGTCTACCGCCTCGACGGCGACAACGTGCGCATTGGCCTCAACCGCGACTTGGGCTTCTCGGCCGCCGACCGCGAAGAAAGCGTCCGCCGCGTCGGCGAAGTGGCCGCGCTCTTTGCGGCCTCGGGCACCGTCACGATCGTCGGCCTCGTCTCGCCGTACCGCGCCCACCGCGACGAGGTCCGCGCCTTGCACGAGAAGATGAACATTCCGTTCTACGAGGTGTTTGTCGACACGCCGCTCGAGGTGGTCATGGCGCGCGACATCAAGGGCCTCTACAAGAAGGCCGTCGAGGGCAAGATCCAAGAGTTCACCGGCATCTCGGCGCCGTACGAAGCGCCGGTCGCCGCCGACATGACGCTCTTCACGCCCAACCTCACGCTGTCGACCGAAGTCGACGCGCTCCTCTCCTTCCTCGAAGGCAAAGGGCTCTTCACCGGCGTCGCGTCGCTGCCGAGCGGGTATCCCGGCGTCGCGCTTCCCGACGGCGGCAACGCGGCCGAGAACTTTACGTCCTTGTACCCGGACGCGCCGTCGGTCACCGCCGTCGACCCTGCGTGGCCGCGCGTCCTCCTCCGCGACGAAGACCTGCACTGGCTCCAAGTCATTGGCGAGGGCTGGGCCGCGCCCCTCCGCGGCTTCATGCGCGAAGGTGCGTACCTCCAGAGTCTGCACTTTAGCTCGGTCGTCTTCGACACGGACGGCTTGACCGACGGACGGCTCAACCCGCACGCGCCGACCAACTTTTCCGAGTACGCGAACGAAGGCTTGCGCAAAGGCCGTCGCGTGAACCTCCCGATACCCATCGTGCTGCCCGTGACGGCGGCGACGAAAGCGCTCATCGACGGCGCGTCACACATCGTGCTCGTGGACCGCGCCGGCGACGACGTGGCGATCCTAGCGGCGCCCGAGGTCTTCCCGCACCGCAAGGAGGAGCGCATTGCGCGGACATTTGGAGCCATGGACGCCCAGCACCCGTACATCGCAGCCATTCAGGCGTCCGGTGAGTTTCTCGTGGGCGGTGAGATCCAGCTGCTCCAGCGCCTCACGTACAACGACGGTCTTGACGCGTACCGGCTCACGCCGGCCGAGCTCCGGCGCAAGTTTACAGAGATGGGCGCCGACGCGGTGCTGGCCTTCCAGACGCGCAACCCGACACACGCCGGCCACGCGTACTTGATGAACTCGGCGCGCCAGCAGCTGCTCGACATGGGCTACAAGAACCCCGTGCTGTGGCTTTCGCCGCTCGGCGGCTGGACCAAGGACGACGACGTCCCGCTCAACGTCCGCGTCGACCAGCACGTGGCCATTTTGAAGCAAGGGATGCTCGACCCGGCCTCGACGGTGTTGGCGATTTGGCCGTCGCCCATGGTCTACGCCGGTCCGCGCGAAGTCCAGTGGCACGCCAAGTCGCGCAAGAACGCGGGCGCGACCTTCTTTGTCGTCGGGCGCGACCCCGCCGGCATCAAGCGCTCGGACGGGCCCGACATGTACGCGGGCGACCACGGCCGCTACGTGCTGCACCTGGCGCCCGGCCTGGACGACATGCACATCATGTCGTTTCCCAAAGTTTTTTACGACAAGGTTGATCACCGCATGAAGCCGCTGGACATGACGCGCCCCAAGGCGGACTTCTTGTCGATTTCGGGCTCACGCATGCGTCTCATGGCCAAGAACGGTCTCCAGCCGTGCGACGGCGCCATCCCGGCCAGCTGGGAGACGACGCCGACGTGCGTCCCGCCAGGGTTCATGGCGCAGGCGGGCTGGGACCTCATGATCCAGTACTACCAGACGCCGAATGCCGCCTCGAACGTCCAGTACGCCGAGCCGCGCCGGACGCTGGCGCCGCGCGACGACATTACAGCGGTGGGCACCCTCGGCCAGCGGGACTTTGAGCTCTTTCTCCAAACGGCCAGCGGGAAGCGCTCGGCGTGGCACGACGTGCCGCTCTACGTCAATAGCACCGCGGGCATCGTCAACCTCGTCGTCGAGATCGAGAAGGGCCACATGGAGAAGATGGAGGTGCAGAAGCATCTTGCGTTCAACCCGATCATGCAGGACGTGACCAAGACCAACCACTCGCGCTACTACATGTACGCGGTTCCCTTCTTCAACTACGGCATGCTGCCCCGCACGTGGGAAGACCCGATGCTCAAGGACGCGCACGGCCATGCAGGCGACAACGACCCGCTCGACGTGATTGAAATCGGCGCGGCCGTGCTGCCCATCGGCTCCGTCCAGCCCGTCCGCGTGCTCGGGAGCTTGGAGCTCCTTGACCAAGGCGAGGTCGACCACAAGATCATCGCGATCTCGACGGCCGACCCGGACGCCGCCCGTATCCATACCGCCCACGACCTCCTCACGTACAAGCCGGAGGTCGTCGCGCGCCTTGTCGACTGGCTCAAAAACTACAAGCTGCCCGAAGGCAAGGCCGTCAACGCTCTGGCGCAGGAGTCGCTCACGTCGGCGGCAGCGGCGCTCGACATCATCGCCGAGACGCACACCCGGTACCAGCTGCTCAAGAACGGGACGACGCCCAACCCGGGCTTTTGGCTCGGCGACTAGCGCCTCATCTTGCATGCTTCCTCTTCTTCTTCATGACACATGGTTATACAGACTACGACTACGACTGCGGCTTCGACCGACGCAAGGGTCTCGAGGAGGAAGGAGGACGATTGTCGATGCAAAACTTAGATGCTGTACTCGTCGCTCTCGACGAGCGCCGGCGGCTTTTGGTTCTTGATGCTGTTCTGGTGCAAGAGCAGCTGCGCCTCAAAGAGCGTGGCTTCATTGTCGAGCTTGACCTCGGGCGTAAAGTCAAAGTCCTTGAAGAGCTTCGACTCCTTTTGCTCCTTGGACGCCGACCGCTGGAGCGTACCGGCGCCGGCCGGCGGCGGCGCAAGCCCTCGCTCAATCTCGGTGATCTCTTGCTCGGTGAACGAGTTGGGAAAGTTGGACGTGTCGGGCACCGCGTTGCCCGCGTCAATCTTGGGCTTGAACGGCGGCGGGATCTCCTTGCGGTACAGCTTGTTCCAGTCGATGGGCGCAAAGAACGGGTGGTCCATGATCTCCTTGTCGCCGCGTGGGCCCGACCCGAGACGCTGGTTCGGGTCCTTCCACAAGAGGCGCTGGATGAGGTCCCGCGCCTGCGGCGAAATGTACTCTGGGATCGTCAGGTTGCCGCGGAGGATGTTGTGGAAGAGCTGCTTCTTGTCGTTCGTATAGAACGGCGGGAGGCCCGTGAGCAGCTCAAAGAGGAGCGCGCCGACCGAGTACCAATCGAGCGCAAAGCCGTGGCCCGACCGCGAGAGCATCTCGGGCGCCAGGTACATGGGCGACCCGCAAAACGTGTTGGCCGACGAGTGGTCCGCGACGCCTTCCTTCGAGATGCCAAAGTCGGTCAGAAGAGCGTTGCCATCGAGGTCCAAGACGACGTTCTCGGGCTTGAGGTCGCGGAAGACGATGCCCTTCGAGTGCAGGTGCGAGAGCGCTAACACAATCTGGCCAATGTAGAACGCAGCCTCCGGCTCTGTGAACGCCTTGCGGCGCGTGAGCGTCGAGAGCAAGTCGCCGCCGCCGCAGTACTCCATGACGAGGAAGAGTCGGTCTTGCGACTGGAACGCATAGTAGAGGCTCACGATGAACGGGTGGTCCGAGCACGCCTGCAGCGCCGCCTTCTCCGTGTGGATGTACTGCGCCTGGTTCTTCTGCACGATGGCCTGCTTGTTGTAGGCTTTGAGCGCAAACCACTTGTCCTTGTTGGCGCCTTTGCCGCGCACGAGGTACACCTTGGCAAAGGCGCCGCGCCCGAGGACCTTGACAAACTCGAAATCGCGCGGCCCGAGCGCGAGGCTCTCGTGGTACTTGTTCTTGAACGTCACGTGCATCTCCGTCTTGTTGCTCACGTCGTTCGGGTCGACGCGGCCCGGCGGCTGCACCGGGTTGACCGCGTTGTTCTGCGCCGACGACCCGCCCGAGAGCAGCACGCGGATCGGGTGGCCGATCGGCGAAATGTGCACCGGCAGCGACCCAGACGCGTTCGGCACGTCCGTGCGCGCGCCGTACGCGATAAGGAGCTTGGCGCACGCAATGTTGCCGCCCTCGGCCGCGAGGTGGATCGCGCCGTTGCCGTTCTGGTCGGTCGTGTTGGGGTCGGCGCCGGCCTTGAGGAGCTCCTCAACGCACCTATACGGCCGTTCATGAGCGACGGCGTGGAAGAAGACTTCGAGCGTACGCAGCGTGGCCCTCCATGGCGGCGAGGTGCAAGGGCGTGAGACGGTCCGCGGTGCGGGCCGAGATGTCGGCGCCGCGGCCGACGAGCTCGGCGACGGCCTTGGCGTGGTTGTTGCGAGCGGCAAGGTGCAGCGCGGTGCACTGGTTGATGCCAACGCCGTTGATGTCGATGACGTTGTCGCGCAGGAGGGTCGAGATGAGGTGGAAGTTGCCGACTTCGGCCGCGTCAAACAGCTGGATTTGCTTTTTGCGCAGGTCGCGAAGGTCCAGCATCTGCTTGGGCGCGCCGACGATCGAGCCGACACGCGGGAGGCTGCGGTTGGACCCGAGACCCGAGCTGCCGACGAGCGTGTCGCGGGCTTGCTGGAGCGTCGCTTGGCCGTTGCTCGTCTCGAGTTCGTGGATGACTAAACATGCGTTTGTGAGAGGGTAGAGAACAGACGACCACGTACTCTGATCCTTGAGCATGAGTTGCTCGCGCAGCTGCCGGTTCTCTTCGAGGAGCTGCTTGATGACAACGTCCTTCGGGTCCGTCGAGGCCTCGGCGCCACGCACAATGTCGTGGTTCTCGAGCAAGCTCGGGCGCGTGTAGTCCTGGTCACTGGCCTTGGCGCCGCCCATGGTGGCGGCCGACGACGCAAACACCGACGCCTCAAACTGCGCGGGCGTCGGCTTGGATTCGTCGCTGCTGCCGCTCTTGCGGAAGCGCTGCTGCTGCAGCGCTGTCACGTGCGCGCGGATCATCTTGATCCAGTCCTCGCACTCCTTGGCCGTGTTGGCCTGGGCAAACATGCGCTTGTCGCCCGTGTTGATCTCAAAGCAGTTGGCCTTGTTGTCAATGTTGGTCTTCTTCACGACCGTGTCGGGCGAGAGCTCGAGCTGGCCCTTGAAGTGCGCGAGGTCCTGCTCCTCCTCCTTCTTCTTCGAGAAGAAGCCGCCGCCGACCTTGTAGTAGCACAGCTTGGCCTCCGCGAGCACGAAGAAGCGCTCTCGCCAGTTGGCCAAGGCGTCGATGGAGCCGATCGACCGCTTTGTGAGGTAGCCCGTCTTGGACGAGACGAACTCGCCCGCGGTCGTGGTCGTGGCCGCGCTGGATTGTGTCATGTCATGGCTGTTGCTCCGCCCCTTCCAGGACGAGCTCTTCTGGAAGCGCTGCGACGCGCCGGTGAACTCGGAATTGCGCTGCATTTCGCCTACGCAGACGCCATGAGGTCGGCCCTCGCGGCCGTGGGCGCGGTACCGCAAGGGACTCGGTTGACTGCTGCTGCTGCTGTCGCTGGGATACTAACGCCACTAGAGAACAAGCTCCCAACCAACGTCACCCGATTTATCTTGCTTTTTGTATGCTCTGAAATATTATTGTATAGAGGTTCTGCCACGAAGCCCATACAAACGCACTGTCGCATCTGGCCCCGCCTTGCCCGATGGCTATCCGGATCTTCGAACCTCCATAAATCAATTTTGCACCCGGCCGGGTCTTTAGGCCGGGGACACAACGCCTGCGACGCAGGCATGGGTCGGTACAGCCGCCGTGGGCCTCGCGGGCACTCGCCGCTGCGCCGAGAAGAGGCCATGGCGAGGCAGCCCTGGGCGAAGGCGGCTGTTGCTGCGGCGCTCGCCTGTCGCTGCGAATCCGCTTGTGGTCAGCGCGAAGGCCGCTCGCCCATCGCGCCAGCAGCAAACCAGTAGGCAGCTTGGCCTTACGAGCGCAGTTCTACGTGGCGGGCATGGCCTGCGCCATGGCCTGCGCCATGCGGCGGCGGCGACGACGCGCGCAGTGGCCGCGAGTTACATGCGCATGGACGTCGACGGGGCTGAATTCCAAGCGCGCGACCCCGACACGCTGGTGGCGTTTCATTGGCCGCATTTTCATGAATTGCTTCGCTTCGATCGAAGCGTCAGACCTCATTTAATGCAGCTTGCATACAAACGTGCAGTGTAATAATAAAAGTTGAAGATCGAAGAAGAGGCAGAGGCAGTTTTGCCGCATTCGTTGAACTTCAAGCGCGCTTCGAAGCGTTCGATTGGTGCGCTTTATATCGGCATACAAACTTCAAGCTTAACGGCTGGTGGAATGCTTCGATTACGCAGCACCCGGGCAAAATAGCAGCCACACTTGGATCATCGCCGAGCATGCGCCGAGACGACTGCCGGCCCGCGACCGAGGACGACTTCGTCTACCTCGGAGACGACGACGACGACGATGACCCGATCGAAGACGAGCTCCGCATGTGGGCGCGCTTCCGGCGGCGGCGCTTCTTCAAGTCGGGCCTCTCGACGTACGAGGAGTACTACTCGCGCAACGAGACAGGGCGGCGCCTCGGCCGCTTCTCACTGCACATGCGGCTCAACGAAGAGCGCCCGACCATCACGATCCTGCTGGGCAATCGGTCGTCGCGTAGCCGTCCATCGGTCGTGCGGCCCACTACCGAGACACCGCGGCGCGTGCGCAGCAGCAGCCTCGACGCCAACTGGCGCGTCTCGAAATGCGGCGACGTGCTCCGGCCAAAGCTCCTGGCCGACCCCAACTTTAGCTTTTTCCAGCACCGGTCGATCTCCAAGGTCCCACGGCAAGAGCAGACGCGCGAGCCGACGGGCACGCAGAGTCTTCTCAGCCGGCCCACGAGCATGCCGGACGTGACGATGCCGAGCCCGCAGCAACTGCGGCGCCATTGCAGCTCACCCGAAGTCTTCTTCGACGCGCAGGAGCCGCCTCTCGAGTACCAGGAAGCCGACAACGTGCGGTCGAGCACGCCCGAGGATCCTCGCCCGAGCGACGAACGTCGGCCGAGCGACTACGGCGAGGGCGACGACGAACCTTCGCCGCTCTACGGCGACACGCAAGAAGACGCTGGCCGGTTCCGCTCGAGCGACGCCACGTATCGCCCCAGTGATCTCGACAAGTTTCGGCCCAGTGGCATGCGCGAGTCGTCCTTCAGCAGCAACTACAACCCGGTCACAATCCGCAACAGCGTCACCCACAACGTCAACGTCGTCGCCTTCCTCGGCGGCTTCAAGGGCAGTAGCAATCGGCGCTCGACGCGCTCGAGTCTCGACCAGCGGCCGTCCTTTGACTCGTACCGCCTCAAGCGCAGCAAGAAGACGAGTCCCTCCGTGCCCGACACGAGCTTTGGCAAGCGGCTGCGCGACGCACGCAACCGCATTCCGCCCGAGTTTCGCGACGACCTTCCGATCGCGCCGGTCCTCGTCCAGAAGCCGCCCCGCGTCAAAAAGTCGGTTCAGTTCCGCGCCGAGAACGAGGTCTTTGTGTTTGAGAAGCAAGACCCGATCGACGACGACGACGACGTCTACGTCGTCGAGCTCGAGCACGACCTGTAGCCGTATGTGTTTGCCATGTATTTAATATGTAGTCATCTCCGTGTCGACGCTCCGTTGATGCCCATCGACTAGTGCAAGTTGGAAAAGTCGATGCCCTCTTCGTCTTCGTTGGCAGTTGCGGCCACGGGGCGCAGCTCTTCGCTGTGCGCGACCTCGGGCGCGGCGTCGGCGGGCTTGGGCGCCATGTCGGCCGGCGTCATGTGCGTCAAGAACGGCACGAGGTACTTGGCGTCGAACTCGAGGATCGCCATGCGCTTGAGCGGACGCACGAGCTGGTCGACCGCGGCTTCCTCAGACGGCTACTCGTCGCCTTCCATCAGCGTCATGCAGCCCGTGGGAGGAACGTACCGAGAGGCGCTTGATTTGCAAGTAGTTGAGGACGGGCACGGTCGCGCCGCCGCCAATGAAGAGCGTGATGAGCACGATGACCATGGTCACGTTGATGATGTACTAGGCGGTTGCATGAGACAGAGACGAGGACGACAACGCGGCGTACGTGGCGCTGGAGCTCGTTGGGCCACTCGAGCGCGAGCGCAAAGCAGAGCGCGCCGCGGAGACCGCTGAACCAGAGCATGTGCTGCGTGGCCTTGGGAATCTGGCGCTCGGGCGTCTTGCGGCTGTTGATGACGTACGAGAGCGGGTACACGTGCAGCGCGCGGCCGGCGAGGCAGCCAAAGAGCGTCCAGAACGCAAAGGAAAAGTGAAACCCTTGCTGCATCGAAAACACTGCGAGGCCCAAGTCTACAGCAACGCAGGGTGAGCACAAGTCTGGTCAATGATCGTACTGAGGAAGATGGTGGCTTCCGAGAGGTACGAGATCGCATTGAAGAACTTGGCGCATCTAGAGGAGGGTTCATGGACGGGTTGCGTGTGAGCCTCATGTACGTGGCTTTGCCTTCCTCGGTGAGGTTGTTGCACGTGTAGTGCTTCATGGCAATGCCTACACCACTCCGCAAGCGACGTTGGGACGATCTCAATACCGGTAAAGAGGATCGCGACGACGCCGGAGAGGTCAAAGACGTTGCAGACGGAGAACGGGAGGTACGAGAACATGACGTAGATCGCGACTTCGTGGAAGAGGCAGCCTTTGAAGTCGTAGTGCTTGAAGAGGAGCGCCGAGAGCATGCCAAAGAGGACGCCCACGAGCGTCGACCCGACAAAGATGAAGAAGAAGTCCATGACGGCCAGCGGAATCGCGCTCGCCGTGAACGCGTTGCCGATAAACTTGGAGAAGGACGCAAAGAGCACGATCGCGACCGCGTCGTTGAGCGAGCTTTCGCCAAAGACGAGGTAGAAGAGCGTCGGCTCCTACCGCATACGACACGTGACGAAGTGGATGGTCGGCAAGGACGTACGACGCGGAGCTCTTGGAAGATGGCGAGGACCGACACCGTGTCCTAGCCGCACGTGAGGCGTGCAGAGACGTATGCCACGTGTACCGTGGCGCTAATGAGTGCGCCGAACGAGAGCGCTTCGGCCAGCGTCAGCTTGAGGCTAATACCAATGTACCCGGCCGTGTACACGATGGAGCCAACGACAAAGCTCGAGATCGTCGTGCCCGCGACGGCGTACGTGACGATGGCGGTGATGTTGTCAAAGAAGAAGCGGCGCTTCATCGTGTAGCCTACATGCGCGTTGCGTCCAACGTTGGCATCGCCTGCAACGCCGTACCCGAGTTGAAGATGATGGGCGGGAGGAGACCGACAAAGAAGATGCTCGGGTCAAAGGTCGCCAGCTGCATCGTCTGCATGAGCTCGAATTATGGAGGTTGATGGGCATACCGACTGCGTGACGGAGCTCGTGTGCATGAGGTAGAGCACGCCACCGAGCATGCCCACAAGAATGGTCGCTAGCCGCACACGTCAGGATGCCATGGTGGTAGGACGAGCGCATGTACCGGCGGCTTCCGGGAGGAGGAACCAGTGCTTGTGGTGGGCGACGTAGTTGCTCACGAGGATCGCGAGCATGACGAAGCAGCTCGTGACCGCGAAGTAGACGGCGAACTCCTTCTGCGACTCCATGCCGATCTCATGCTCCGTCGTCGCTTCGCCCATTGCTTGCTGCTCGACCCTTCCAATCCAAGACTGAAACCGATGGCTCATTTTCACACTATTGATTGCGCGCCGGTTGGCGTGCACGCAAATAAAGTAACTACACAAATCGTGTTATCATCCATCAACTTTAAATAGTGTACGTCAAAATCGACTAGACATCGGCACGTCCGCGCTCCATGTGCGGAGTCGACGGCCCACAGCTCTGGGACCAGCAGACCAGAACTCAGCGCAGTTAGATAGTCCATTGAGACACCATTGTGATGGGAGTGCACAGGAGAAGCGTGTGTCCGATGCAGACAGGTCAGAGTTAACGCGAAGCTCGGTTTCACTCTCGGGCACTTGTCGGTCGGTCAGCCTCCTCCTTCTGAGGCTAATAGCTCTGTTGAACACAGAGGACGACGCTGTACGTCGGACGTGAGTTAATATCCTCGCACATATTTGGACCGGAGACTCACTGCTACATAAGTATATGTACAGAGAAGCTCCTGTGCAGTCCCATCGAAATGGTGTCTCCTTGGACGATCCAGCTGATACATTGATACAAACCAACCGTGAGTCCTCGTCTAGTTGTATGCATCGCCAGCGCACCCAAACCGCACGCCGCTCACGAACATAGTACTACGTTGAGGACGCAGAGGGTAGGGTTGGTGGCGTTCTAATATTAGTAGTAGTGTAGTATGGTGTCTATTCGGATTCGAAGATGAGCGCGAGCTCCTTGAGCGCGGCAAAGAGGTCGGCCGCAAACGCGTGCGACGACGTGCCCTCCGCCGACTTGTTGCTCGAGATGTGGAAGAAGAGGTTCGAGTCGCCGGCAATCATGTAGCTCACGCCGTAGCCGTCGGTCGCGACCGGGCCAAAGCCGCCGCCAGGGCACACCATCCCGTCATACTCCTCCTTGCTCAAGAGCTTGGCGACGTCCTTCCAGTTGGTGGTCTGCTGCTGCGGCTGCTGGCTCGTGCTGAGGCGCCACGGGCGCTGGAGCGCCTGCTTGAGGAACGGCGACTCGACGCCCATGCCCACCGAGACGCAGTAGAGCGTAAAGAGGTGGCGGTCGACGCCTTCACCGCACATGGCACGACGATACAGGTCCTGGTGGGCCTCGCCCGCCGCGTACGCCAGCGCCCGGCGCTCCGCGTTGCTCTTGGTCTCGTCGACAAGCGACAGAATAAAGGCCTTGGACGCGTCCGTGACGGGGCGGACCGTCTCGGTGCGGCCGTGCTTGTAGAGGCGCGTCATGCTCGCTTCGTACGTCTGCGTGAACGTTCCGCGCGAGTTCTTGTAGTACGCGTACTGCAGCGCCATCTGCATGAACGCATCTGGGCTCATCTTGAACTTCTTCGTGATCGCAATCTTGCCATAGTCCGTGTGGCTAATGACGGCGAGGTCAAACGTCGCGATCGCGGCCTGCGCAATCGCGAGCTCGGTCTGCACGGCTGCGTCGAGCGCCGGCGTCCAGTCCCACTGCAGCGACTTGACGGCCGGCAAGGTCGCCACGTCCGCGTCCGACGGCTTGCAGTGGCCATCAACAGTGTACATTTGGTCGAGTACTTCGCGCGTGCACGCTTCCTCCCAGAGGTGCGCGACGACCGGCGCGTCGGCCCACGCGTGCTCAACGTTCATGCCGATGCGGCCGTTGGCAAAGGCGACCATCGTCAGCGACTTGTCAAACCAGCGGGTCGCGCCGTCGCCGTGGATGAGCGACCGGCCGAGCGCCTCCATCTCGTTGGGCGAGCCCTCGTCAAAGTACAGCACGAGGATCGCCGACTCGATGACGTGCAGCGACTTCTTGTTGACGCCGTCCGAGAAGAAAGCATCGCGGTGCTCGGCCCACGTCGTGCGGTTGGCGGCCGTGAGCGCCGACAAGTGGGCTTCAGGCGCCTTGTCCGAGGACGCGGCCGCAACGACCGCTGCAAGCTGGCGCTCCATGTCGCGCGCCGAGAGGAGCTGCCCGTACGTGCCCTTCGTGTAGAGCGGCACCTTGAACCAGCGACCCTTGCAGTTGACGGCAATGTGCTTGGACGACTCGTAGCGAGCGAGCGTGTCCTCTTCGCGGCCGGGAAGACGCGTCGTGGAGAAAATGCGCTCGTACTGCGCCATGCACATGGGCACGATGCCGCGGAGCATGAGCGGCGGGAGCTGTTCGCGGTCGAGGTTCATCTTGAACGTAAGGAGCTGGCGAAGCATGCCGGCGGCGCGCGCCACGGGGACGGTCGACGGAATGTACTCGCGCGGCGGCAGCACGTAGTAGTTCGAGTTGATCATGAGCGACGTGCGGCCCTTGAGGTACACGTACTTCTCCCACCAGTCGGTGATGTAGTTGTCGGCAAACCAGCTCTTGAGCACGAGGTACTTGTGGAGGCGCGGGCCGACGCTCGCTTCAAAGTCCTTCGCAAGGCCCTCAATTTCCGCGTACTCCTTTTCGTCGACAAGCGGATGGACCGACTTGAGGTAGCGCTCGATCGTGCCGTTGAGCGCCGGCACCGACATACGCGGCAGCGCCGATTGGTACGAGTACGTGAGCGGGTCCTTCCCGCCGAGGATCTTGACGAGGCCACCCCAGAGCGTCACGACATGGCTCACTTGGCGCGGCGCGAGGTACAGCCAGCCACGGTAGCTCAAGAGCACACGCAGCACCAGGCGATGGATGCTCATGAGCACGATGAGGCCGGCGAGCGCCGCCCAAGCCGCGAGGTACGCGAGGTACACCGAGTGCGGGAGGTAGCTCGAGAAGGGCACGATCGCGTTGCCAACGTGCCAGATGGCCCACGACAACGTCGAGTCGCGCCACCACGAGGTCGCGGGCGACGCCAGCACGGCGGCGATGACCACCGCAACGACGAGGATCGCGACGCTTGGCGGTGCCGGGTAGACAAAGCGCTGGACCGTCCGCTGGAGATGGTAGGCGTAGCGGAGGGCGCGGGCGCGGAGCTCCTTGGGCGGCGGGATGAGGAAGTGGACCTCGATCGCGCCCTCCTCGCTCAGGAGGAGCTTGACGCCCCGGCGGTTGCCTTCGTACACGTGGACGGCTGCGTTCGCTTCGGCCATTGCTCGCAAATGCACTTGTGGCCGATGTTGAAGCTGCAAACCTGCTCGCCGCTGATTGGCTGCCGGAAAGATCTTGGGGCGTCGAGTCAACAGCCTGTCGAGTTGACACAGCTGGCGCTGTTGACACGACCGCGCTTTGCCGCCATACGTCACCAAGCGACTTCAACCTGCGCGCCCTTGGATGCCCACCTTCGCGTCAAGATGAGAGAAGATGGTCCGGGCTTGGGACAGGCCGGCGCGACAGGGCGACCGAGAAGAGGAAGAAGACAAAGCTGCCTCGACACCGAAGTGGCAAGGCGACGACGGCGTCTATGCATCGGCCTGTCAGGACCAGCTGGTTCGCGCTGCACCGCCGCGAGAAGCGATGGTTCTCGAAGCTCGGCGCACTGGTGGCGGCACGCCGCCATCCGGGTGGCACCTTGAAGTTGGTGGTGTAGCGTCGACGGCCTCGGATGTCGACGCCACGATAGCGCCAAGGACCAATACACCCTTGATAGCGCGTAGCATTTATGCAGATGGTGCGTCCGATGACGAGGTTGGTTGCCGCCGATGCACGCGACGAGTGTATCGACATCGCTGTCCATTTTGCTACTGAGCACCTACGTCTCATGCAAAACGAGGAGGATATGCCGTGGACCGAAGAAGAAGCCAAGCTCTGCGGGGATGGGACGTCCGATCCTACTGAAGAACGCAATGATGACCTCCAGGTACACTGTACTCTGCTCAGATCCCGGCAGTCGATCGAACACTCGTCGTCGCAAGCTCCTCCTGCTACCGTTCGGCGTTGGTGTCGCCGCCCAAACCGCGTGATCGACCATCGCTGATGGCTAGTCTCGCGCGTGGACTGTGTCGGACGGGCACAAGCGTTGTCGAGGGCCAACGCCGTCTCCTTGAGGTACACAGAAGGACACGATGGCGGTGGGCTGCGACTGGAAACGAGCGTCGCGGGCAAGGCGTCCTCCGCCACTAGGCTGCGCTTGCCAGCGATGAGCTCACTTCAAGTTTGATGAACCAAGCGGCGATGACAAGTCCCCTCCACACTCCATCGACCCAAGCGCCGAGCCCATGCAGGTCAAATCGTCTTCGTGTTCTCCAAGCTCTCATAAGGGAAACGTCTTCTTGGCCATGGATCACATTTCGATGCCGAGCGCGAGCGTCACGTTCATGAACTCAAAGAGCACGCAGCGCATCCAGACGTAGACGGCGACACCGAGCAAGATGGAGATCGGGAGCGCTGGCAGCGCCTGCTTGTGAATACCAAGGAGGAAGAGCGTGCCACCGAGGCCCTAGCACAGGCTATTTGCACCCAACCTTCCGCAAGTAGTTGCAATCTACCACGAGGATCGCAACGGCGCACGCCCACATGGCCGCGACATCGTAGAGCGCCGCACGCGACACGAGCACGCTGTAAAACACGAAATCCCCGAGCCCGAGCTTGATCGTATTGTCCTCTACGCCCATCGCGAGGCTAAGTCCACGCAACAAATAGCTCGAGACAGTACCCTCGTCGTCAGTGTCGAGGCCATACTTGCGTTCGAGGTCGCGCCAGAGGTCGCCTTCACGGCCCTCGTACATGGCCAAGATGTTGTCGATGCGGCTAAGGGCGTCTGGGTTGTAGGCTGTGTAGAAGGCGACAAGCCGGTCGCGCACGCTCGGCTTGGGCTTCTTGGCGACAGGCTGCGGCGGCAAGAGGGGCTCGGTCTGCGCCTCCTTCTCGAGACTCTCTTCGTCCTCGTCTTGGGGCTTGGACCGCCGGCGGGCGAAACTGCACACGTCCGACGCGGTCGTCGTTGTCGTGATAGCCGGCAACGGGCCGCCGTGCTGGTAGTAGTTGGGTTCAGAGTGATCAAAGCGGGTTTGAACTTCGGCCTCGTAGAGGAGGCCGGGGAGCGGCCGTCCCTCGGACTGGATGAGGTTCACGAGGCACTTGAGCGGCCCGCACGGCGTGAGGACGGCGCAGAGGTCGTAGAAGGCGAGCACGACGACGAGCGCCCACGTGGTCCACTCTGGGAACTTGCTGAGCTGCCACGCCATGATGACCGAGACCGCCACGAGGTACGACTGCGTCACCGACATGGGGAGTCCCTACCGTCTGCAATGAGCGGCGAGCTATAGCGGCGGTAGACACCTTTTGGTAAAAGATGGAGAGGACGCCGACGATCGCAAAGTTGTACATGACGATGGACCACGAGAGAATGTCGACGGCGACGTCGAGGCGCTCGAGGAGGACAGTCGCGAGGTGGCCGCCGAGGATCCCGAGCAAGACGGCCGACGAGAAGAACATGTAGCCCACGAGAAACTAATGCGAGGTGCCATGAGACCGCGATGGATCCGAAGCGTCGTACGTTGGTAAACTGAAACTTGTAGCAAAACACAATGACAAAGGTCGCAATCACAAACACGCCGACGATCGCGAGGGCGTTCACGATCGCATGCCCGAGGAGCGATCCGTCCGACTCGCCGTCTTCCGGGAGGTACACGAGGTAGGCGCTACAAGATCGCTCGTGCCCAGTCCATGCGCTACATGCAGCTCGTACTGGGCGATCTGATCGGCGGTCTCTGGATCCGTGAGCACGGCCGAGGCGAGGCTAACGGAAGTTGCGTGAGGCCATGCGAGTCGCGGCGCCGGAATTCATACCTCGAAAGGAGCATCGTCATGGTCACGGGCAGGAGCACCGCGCGGAACGAGCCGAGCGAGTGCAGGATGTCGTGGACGTCGATGGCACCGGCCTCCATGTCCTCGGGCGCCTGGCGCGTCGGCGGCGCCATCAGCGGGACGCTAGCCATGGCATGAGCGACTCGTGGCGGCCTCGACCCCACCTTGTCGCGTTCATCTTGGCTCTTGAAGTACGAGCGCAGATTGGATTGGCTTGGGTAGAGTATACTATACAAACGGAGCATGATTGGAAGCGTTCGAATCAAAATGGTGTCACCTACTACTATTTCCAAACGCGCAAATACTGTACGAACATAGATTAATGTTTACTCTAACACTAAATCCCTGCGTTCCAATATTCACTCCTTTCTGCGCAAACACCATGGCGGCCCGCTTGGAGTACAGTTGGTCCACCGAGTACAAGAACGACAAGCGGGTCCTGGGGATGCGCGACGCATGCAAGGCGATCCTGCTTATGCTCAACAAGGACGACGCCGAGCTGCCCGATCCATCGATCCGCGGCTACGCCACATCCACCAAGGTCCACCTCGCCTTTCTCGCCTGCTCCTGCACCGTTGCTGCGTGTAGAAGGCCCGCGTGGCGGCGCCGCCCGCCAAGCCAAAGCCAGCAGTAGCAGCGCCCAAGGTCGCCGTCAAGGTCGATCGCCGCCCGCGAAAGGCCCCGAGCGTGCCCGACGACGGGTCGTCGACCGCCGACAGCGACTACATTGCCCGGGGCACGTTTACCAATCCGATGGACGACATGAGCGAGTACGAGAGCGACGACTCATTGCCACCGCCCCGGTTGGCGCCAAAGATCTACGAGAAGGTCGAGGTCGACGAGGACGACAACGGCGACGACGACAGCGACGACGAGGTAGGCGCTTCGACGCAAGACCAGGTAGCATCGGCTTGTAGAACGCAGACAAGGCGTGCCAGATCTGCAACCTCAATGAAAACGACTCGCAAAGTCTCATTTGCGACACGTGCGAAGATGGTAGCAAACGTTGAGATCTTAGCGCGGTCTTATCGCGGCCTGTAGTGTTTCACACGTACTGCGTCGGGCTGGCCGACGTGCCCGAGAACGACTGGTTCTGCCCGACCTGTCTCGGCGCCGAGTACCACCGGCTCACGCAGCAATTCGTCCGCCAACGATCTCCAACCATAAGCTCATCGTCGTCATCGTAGGCGACCGAGCCGCTCTCAGTTCTCAACAGTTGGCTGGTCCACGCGTGCGGCTGCGACGCGCGCAACGACGTGTGCAAGTCGCCGTCGCTGGCGCGCATCTGCGTCTTCTTCAAGCGGCTCGTGCGCTCGCTCGCGCGCACCGACGGCGTCTTGCGGACCAAGTTTGGCATGCTCCTCACACACCACATTGCCAGCTGCCCCGAGAAGCTCTACTGTCCCGTCCCGCTCTGCAACCAAATGCGCCGGCGCAAGGCCAAAGTCCAGATCCGCGCCGTCGAACTACATTGATAGGACGTTGATACATGCTTAATATAGGGTTTTTATTCGGTTTGGCGAGGGCGACGGCGTCAGGCGAGGAGACTCCGCGTGAGCGCCCGTGCGACACCCACAAAGTCGGCCAGCGGCGTCTCGGGCTCGACATCCAGCGTACTTTCGCTGAGCTCTTCGAGCGTACTCAAGAGGAGACGGCCGGCCGGCTGCGTCGCAAACTTGGTCGTTGCCTGCAAACCCAAGTTGTACAAGGCTTTGCAGATGAGCGTGCTGCAGGCGACGTCCGTGAGCCCGACGCTGCGGAAGAGCGTCGTGAGCGCCTCGCGCGCCTGGAGCGACAGCAGCGCCTTGCGGCTCGGGCCGTCCAGCGCCGCATTCATCAAGATGCCGCAGACCGACGAGACGACGAGCTTGCTCGGGTGCTGGAGCAAGGCGAGGATGATCTCAAAGGATTGGGTCTGCACCAAGTGCGCGAGGACATCGGGGAACCGCGCGAGGTTGCCCAGCGCCCGCGCGACCTCGACGACCATCTCTTCGTTGGGATCGACCAAGCCGGGGCAGAGCGCCGTCGCGAGCTCGATGCGGTGCGCGGTGACGACGTTGGGCGCCGAGTCCGTCGGCGACGCGTAGAACGAGAGGTTGGTCAAGCAGCTCACAATGTTGAGCTGGAGCTCATCGTGGCCGCATGCAGTAGCGTGTGCGAGGAGCTCAAAGAGGCAGTCGAGACCTGGCGAGGCCGCGGCGATCGCACCGGCGGTTGCATTGATCGAGATGTTGGCCAGCAGCCGCATGAGCTTGACGAGTACATCCATCGACTCGTCGTCCTCTTCGTCGTCGTCGTCCTCATTGTCGCACGTGTCATGCAACGCGCGTTTGGTTGACGACGACGTCTGCTGCACGTAGAGCCGACCGTACTGCTGCAAGGTGCGGACGAGGATCGAGACAGCGCGGTGTGACACAGCAAGGAGCTTCCGGTTCTTCTCGTTGCTCGCCGTGAGATTGCCAAGGACAAAGCACAGCCGGACAAGAAGAGCAGCTTGGAACCGGTGCGGCGCCCCCGATGAAGAAAGGTCGAGAAGCGCGACGAGGTCTCCGAGGATGTCGGGGCTCCTGTTGATCGGCGTCCGCCCGGCTTCGTGCAATGTGAGCTAAACCACAGCAATAAGAAATCTTCCGCTACATCTGTATATATATATGTACCTTGCTCAGGACGCGGGAGATGTTGAGCATGAGCTCGAGGTGCGAGGGGTACAGCGGGAGGAGCGCGCAGAGCGCCTCGGTCACGTGCCAGTGCCAGAACTGCTTGTGGCACGACTTGTGGACGGCGAGGTTGCGCAGGATCGCCGTCACCTGCACGAGGAGTTGTGCGACGGGGTTTTCGCCGCCGCGGCTTCCATCGTGACGAACGTGCAGCTACACATTTAATACATTTGCTTGAAAAATTGAAACAAAACGTGGCAATCGTACGTGCAAGATCGCTTTCAGAATCGAGATGGCGCCGTTCGTCGCAAGGAGTGACACCATGCGCGTCGTCGACGACGCATTCTTGAGCGTCCCCGCCACGTAGATGAGCAGCTGCATCGACAACGGCCCTTTCTTGGACGATGACGCGTCGCTCAGCACGCCAACAAGCGTCTCGACGACCGCGACGTGGCAAAAGTGGTCGTCGTTGATTGGGTCCTTGCTCTGGAGGAAGAGCAGCTTGGCCGCATGCACCACCGGCGCCTCGAACGCCGCCAACGGTCCGAGGCGGCACACGTACAGCTACATGCAATCGCATATGTGAACGTAGTTGCATCCTCCAAGGTACCGTGATGGACGCGCGCGTGAGCTCAATGACGCGGCGCCCCGAGGCAATCTCGATGCACTCGAAGAGTTGCGAGAGACATGCCGCGTTCGCCACGGCAAGCGTACCTGAGCCCATACGAATGAGGTCTCAGCACCACCTTAGGTCGATGTACCGAGCGCGCTCTCGTCGCGAAGAAGGTGCGTGTCGTGGTAGATCTGCGACGTGGCCTTGCAAATCGCTTGGACGGTCGCAAACGCCGCTTCGTCTTGGTCGGCATGCGCTCGGAAGCCGTCGAGGTGCTGCTGGAGCTCCTCGAGCCGGTCCGCCAGCGCCTCCTACGTCCACTGTCGTGTGCGCTTCAGAGAAAACCACTGCGTTACAATCGTTGAGACGGCTGTCAGCTCGTTCTCGTCGTCATTGTCGGATATAGCCTTGGCATCGGGACCGCTCGATGCTGCGAACGCCTTCTCGCCGCTGCTAGGCTCGTACTCGCTCATGGACGACTGCGGACGGTCGCCTCTTGCCGTCGAGATGGGCGTTGTCACGACCTCGACCTCTTGGTTGTCTGCGTCTGTCCTCAGATACTTGCAGTGTCTCGTCGTGCCTACCTCGTCGCCGCGACGGTCGCTTCTTCTTGGGCTTTTCAAACTCGGTGGCATCCGTCGAGAACGTCGAGCTTGGGCGAGAGCTTGGGCGGTAGTCGTCGCCGTAGAAGAGCGGGCGTGCTAATACACATTGCATCATGCAGCCTCATCCAGGATCCCGCGTACTGCCAGTCTTGGGCGTGAAGGGCCGCGACGGGTGCTTGAGCGACGCGCGCGCCTAGAGACGCATGAGGCGAGCGTCCATGCGCCGAGATGCCGGACCTGCGCCAAGACGCTCGAGATGGCCCCGCGGGCGATGAGCCCGTCCATACCCGCGCGGCTTCAAATATGGCGTAGCAGTTACGATGGTAATAATTTACGGGCAGTTACGATGGTAATAATTTACGGGCAGTTACACTTGGCATGTGCCACATTGAACAAGGCGACCCGACCAGGCAGTTGGACGCATGGCAGAAGCTATGGTAGTAATGCCATGCGCTTCTACGTGGTCTTCACGACAGACCAGCCTGGCGTCAGGGGTAATATCTATCCCTCCCTGTCGTGGGCTTTGCAGCGTTGGGCCAACTGCACTCTGCTGGCATTCGGCACATGCCGAATGGAGTGACGTTCCCACGTTATCCGGATGCGAATTGGTTTCGAAATTTGCATTTTCGAAGCGTCCAGCAGTGGCATGACGGACGACGAGTCGCACCTCGCGCTGCTGACCTTGCTTGGCGCTGGCGCATACGCCGTGACATACCTGCACACGAAGGCGCTCTCATCGGCTGCAGAGGTTCCTTTCGAGGAAGAGGCGCGGCGCACCGAGCGGCTCGTGCGCATCCGCGACCAAGCCGCCACGCTCAAGAACGCATATGACGCTGCTGTCGCGCAGCACTCGCGACTAGACAAGCTCATGGCCGACTACGAGGCTGCGAGACTAGCCTCCATGCAAGGGCTACGACTCGCTGCCAAGAGCGCAATCGACGAGGTCGCCATGCTCGTCAATAGCAGTTGCACCGACTACTTGGACCAGCAGCGTGCTATAGCGCGACGCCTCCCGCCACGTATGAATGCTCCTTTGTATCGTCGTACGCACTCTAAACGACAGCCTAGCACCAGTAGACGAGCCTGCCCCAGAGACATTGGTTTTGCAAGCGTTGCCATCATCACGAGCACGACCACCTGTGCGGCAGGGGGAGCACGGAGGCGTCGTCTTGCTCATCATGATGGTGTGCTGTGGTATCGCGCTGTACGCTTCCAAGCGGCGCCAGACGCATCGAACCACGACACAGACAGCCTCCATGGCACACGCGACGTACAGGCAACATGTACGATTGGTGGCGACGCGGAACGACGAGGAAGACGATGGGCATGCTAGCACTCGGCGGGTACCGTAGGATAAGTCTGCAATCTTCCCCGCGCGTCGACCCATAAAGTAAATACAAGCATCGACGATTTAGTAACGCTAACATTAGATGGCATCTTCCTGGTACTCCGTGATGGACGGCGTCTTGAACGCGGCTTTGAGCTCGTCGTTGCTGTCGTTGCCGTGCATGAGCTTGTCGAGGCCGCGCAATGAGGCCGAGACGTCTGGAATGAACGTGACCGGTTCCCACGCGACGCCTTCGGGGCTGGCCTTCTATGCATAAAGTCGTGTCGAGGCATTGCCCCCAAACTCGTCGTACCTTGCGCCCCAGCGTGAGCGTCCGCTTGAGCATCGATGAGAGCTGCGTCGGATGCAGAATAGGCTCAGCGTGCTTCTTGACGTAGTCCATGCGTTCCTGCAGCTTGCGGCTAGCCACCGCGAGGTCGTCGACGATCTTTTCCATGTCGTCGATCGTGGCAAAGTGGTGCTGGAGCAGCACGCAGCGGTCGAGGAGCAGCTGGACGTTCGCCTCGTGCTCGGCCTCGAGGTCCATCTCCGCGTGCGAGTCCACGAGCGCGCACGTCTCGTCGATCTTGTACATGGCGAGCGCGACCTTCTCCTCGACCGCCAGCGTCAAGTGGCCGCCGTCGAGCACCGCGGCCGCGACCTCTTCGCACGCCTCCTTGAAGTTCTCCCGCATCGCCAAAGTGGTTGACGCTCCACGCCGCCCTCGTTACAAGAACATACCTCTCACATTCGATACGCATGGGCCGATGACGTGGCGCAACGAGCGGGCAAGATGGCAGGCAGTCAAGCGATCCACATCATTCTTCTCGTGCCAAGGCAGAAGCCACCGACGTCGCAAGGGACGCAGCTACCACATGTGTCCCGCTGTCAATGGATCTTGCAGAGACTACAGTCTGCTGTAGTACTACCATCGAGCGGGCTTGATCGGCGAAGCAGGCGTGCGCTGGGACCTCTGTCGTACTAGTAGTGCAGAAGACCACACCGTCGGATCCGACCTTGCAGTGGCCCCATGTCCGAACGGTCTGGTCTGCTTGTATTGGACGCTACGTCCTCAGATCTTAGTGGAACGCTGCCACCAAGATCTGAGGACTTGTGGCAGAAGACTTTAGTCATTGCGTTCAACGCAAAGGCGCTAGTAGACAATATATGTGGACACGAATGATGGAGATAGTTAGCGTCTCGGTTAGTAATACGCGTAGTACTTCGAGATCGGAGTCCTCTAGGCCTAATAAATTGCACTTACATGAACGAGTCGTCGTCAAAGTCGTCGTCGCTGTCGCCTTCGTACTCCATCTCCATGAAGTCAACCTGCCACCGGAGAATGCCGCCAATGCCACCAAAGCCCTGGCAAAACTGCGAGCCTTCCTGGGAGCGGGCCGTGACAAACTCGAGCGCAGTACCAAACGTCTTGTAGTTGTTGGCAAACCACTCGACGAGCGGCTCCTTCTCCGTGACCTCGAGCGTCTCGCCCGTCTCGGCGTCCATAAAGTTGGCCGCGACCTTCTCCTCGGCCGGCGACAGAATCTTGTGCACTTCCTCGCCCGTCTGGTTGTTGCGCATCGAGATGCGGTGGTGCGGCAGGTCTTCCCAGAGGATGAGCGTCTCGACGGCGCCGAGCTCGAGCGCCTTCATGGTATCCGCGACACCAAAGCAGTACTTGCCAGAGTCCATCGCGATCTCTTCCATGTATTTGCAGATGAGCTTCTTCTCCTGGACAAACTTGACGTTCGAGAGCGTGTCGGCCGCGAGCTCAATCGCCTGGTTGAAGCCGTTCTCGCCACCGTACGAGACATCGACAATCTTGACCACGATCTCCTGGAGGCGCTTGTCAAAGATATCCGACTGGTTGAGCTCGTTCTTGAAGTCGGCGGAACCGGCGAGCACGAGGTTCGTGACGTTCGGGCGGTCGTTCGTGATGAACATCTGCGTCGCCGTCTCAGCGACCTTGCGCACGTAATGCTGGCGCTTCTCGAGACGGATACGGCCGAAACGCATGGCGGACTGACCACCGCGACCGTGCTTCTTGGGCAAATCGACCGAGAACTTGTGGAGGATCTCACGCGAGTTACCGGCGACCGTACCGTACAGCGCGCCGTTACCGTCCATGATGATGAAGCCAAAGCGATCGTTGTCCTGGAGGAGCTCGCCGAGCGCTTCCGTGTGGAACTTGTTGTCGCACATGTACAGCGACGTGTTGATGGGCTTGAACGGCTCAAAGTCAAAGTTGAGACGTTTCTCCTTGCCGTCCTCGGTCATGCACGTGCCGCAGTACATGACGAGGCCGTTCGGCGGGCACTTGGTGTACAGCTTCAGGCGCTGCTGCGTCGACGTAATAGCACCGAGCACAGACAGGCGGTTCACGCGCGACTTGATGTTCGAGGCCGTGCCATACTCGTCCTGGAGCATGCGCGCGACGCGCGAGATCTGGTCCTTGGGCGGGATCACGAGCGAGATCATGGACGTCCCGTTACCGCGCGCGGCCTGGAGGTTCTTGATGAGCTTCTTCATCTGGAAGAGCTTCACTTGCTCTTCCTCCTTGCTCAAGCCTGCTTGCGACGACATCTTGGCTGCTTCTTCCTTCGGGTCGCGATGGCGAAATGGGCTCGAGGACCACCAAAATTAGACTGGGGCTGCCCTTTCCGGCATTAAATTGGCAGCGGTTTTCATCCCCCTTTGTATTTTATAATGTGTCTATTTCTACGACATTTTTAAAATAGCTCGTTCTATGTATGCCATGACCCGGCTCCATAGTTATTGAATAAAATATTCAACCCCATTGCATTATATATTGCCCAAAATAAAATACATAAAAAGCCACCACGCCCAGTCTATTAAAAATGGATTTTCTTGAAATTTTATTGCTGATGGACGCTGCTTCGTGCTGCAAACGCCGCATATTTTTATTCGCAATTTAATGCGCCCCGACAGCGCTCCACGTTGCGCTGCACAAATCGAGTGGCCCTCGCAGTCCAGGCACCGGCGTTAAAGCGTTAAACCTCTCAAAACGCATATAACCCATCGCGACCGACATACAAGGGAGCGCACTCGTTCGACAAGGAGGTTGACACCGTTCCACGAGCGACCATCGCTCGCAGAGTCAGGCTCCAAGGTCACTCACACCTGTCGCAAGCTGTGCATCCTCCTTGACGCCGCATGAAGAACACTTGGGGAGTTCCAAGTCACGGTCCATTCTCGCTTCTTCTCGGGCTTTGGAGAAAGTGCTTTTTAGGACTTTGCCAAGATCGTCCAGGCGTTATATTTATTTATAGAGTTAAACGCGATTGACCTCTCTCTTCCCACCGCATGACAATCAGCAACGATGTTAAGCGTCAACCAGGTGCCCAAGCGTACCTCCATCGATTTGGCCCTCGAGCACGTGATGATCCTGGTCAGTAGCGTCGTCAATGACGTCCGGCTCGCGTGATGAAGTGGCTGATGTTGGCGACATGCAATTTAAAAGGGTATCAAGTCTCGCAGGATTGGCGCCGGGTTCAAGGTGTGATATTCGTGCATCATCGCTCGGGACCATGAGCGGCAACGCCACCATCGGTACGTCGGAACCTCGCGCGCTTGAGGCTCACGCGCCGCTAGTGCCCGTGATCCACCTCGAGTTCCACTACAAGCAGTTCGATACCTTCCTCGCGGTCGGCTATGCAATCGCAACGCTGCTCGCGTTCTGGGTGCTCTGCTGCCACATGAGCGGCTCGGCGCGGGACCCGGGCACGACAGGCTTCTTCACGCTCATGTCGCTCGCCGCGCTCGTGCGCTCGGTATGGTACGCCACACCCTACAGCGTGCACGTCTCGGGCTACGTGCCGCAGCGCGTCTACATCTTTGACGACGGCTGGTACATGCTCTTCATCTCCGAGATCGCCGAGATGGCCGGTACGTACATCCTGTACACGGTCTTCATCCTCATGGTGGTTTTCTGGGCCGACATCTTGCATGGGTCCGGATCCTTCGGAGTGGTCGGATGCTGATACTGGAGTAGGGCGTTTGACCGGCAGGACGCGCCGACGTACCCGATGCGGGTGTTTGCGACGCTCTGCTTCCTCCTCGGCATTGCGGTCTCGACGGGCTTTGCGCTCTTTGGCTGCAGCCGCATCGACTCGCTCTGGCTGCTCATGTACAACGACATCGTTGTCGTCGTCCTCTCGCTCGTGACGTTCGTGTTTGTCGCGATCTTTGCCTGCCGCATGCGCACGGTGCTCATCGCGATCCTCGAAGTGAGCCAGGTCGAGACCACTGCGCGCATCCAGACGGTCACGCGCACGGGCTTCATCTGCTGCCTCTTTCTGCTGCTGAATGCGTGCTTTGCCCTCGTGATGACATACCACATGTACGAGCTCCAGTTTGATGCGTCGATCCCGACCGGCTCGACCCAGTGGTTCCTCTTCATCATGGCCAAGCACCTCATGGAAATCTGCGTGCTCTACTTCCTCCTCTGGACGCTCTGGAGCACGTCGCCGCCGGACGAGCCGCACATGTCGGGCAAGTCCCAAGCCGACCGCCGCCAGTACGAGAAGATCCCAGAGCTCGAAGACCAAGCGCAGAAGACGCTCACGACGACCAACAATGGATCCGGCCGGCATTATCACGAGAATTTGTAACCCAAGATACGCAGGGCCGTGTACTCGTGTGTGATTGGCCAGTTTATATGCGACATGTCCGGAAAGCACCAATCACATACGTCGATATGACGTGGCAGCTCAGAACGATGCCTCTGCGGTAGCTGGTTTGATGGTGCAATCTAGCGACGCAACAACGTACGAACGAAAGTAGTGCGTGCAAACACATATATACTTTTAGGGCTTTGTCGTTACGCGTGGTCGTCGGTCAAATCGTCGTTGAGGTTCACATGAAGCTCCTTGGCGACTTGCAGCATGTCCTTGTCACCGCGGCCGCTCACGTTGATAACGATGACCTTGCCAGGGCCGAGCTCAGCGGCCAGCTTGAGACCATACGAGATCGCGTGGGAGCTCTCGAGGGCAGGGATGATACCTTCCTGCTTGCAGCAAATTTGAAACCCTTCGAGCGCCTCCTTGTCCGTGATGCTCACGTACGTCGCGCGGCCCGAGTCCTTGAGGAAGGCGTGCTCGGGGCCAACGCCAGCGTAGTCGAGACCGGCCGACACACTGTGCGTCTCGATGACCTGGCCGGCGGCGTCTTGCATGACGTACGTCTTTGTGCCGTGGAGCACACCGATGCGGCCGCCGACAATCGTCGACGAGTGGCGACCCGTGTCGACGCCTTCGCCACCGGCCTCGACGCCGTAGATAGCAACGTCGTTGTCCTTGGCGAACGGGTGGAACATGCCGATAGCGTTGCTGCCGCCGCCGACACACGCCACAATGGCATCGGGAAGGCGCCCGATCTCTTCGTTGAGCTGGGCCTTGATCTCGCGGCCAATAATCGTCTGGAAGTCCCGCACGATTGTCGGGAACGGGTGCGGGCCGATCGCCGACCCAATGATGTAGTGCGTCGAGTCGACGTTGGCGACCCAGTCGCGGAGCGCTTCGTTCACTGCGTCCTTGAGCGTCATGGAGCCCGACTTGACGGCCACGACCTTGGCGCCGAGCATCTTCATGCGGAAGACGTTGAGCGATTGGCGCTAGGAAAGATGATGAGGACGAGTACAAAGGGGGTGGAGTGTGTTACCTGCGTGTCTTCATACCCCATGTACACGGTGCAGTCGAGGTCCAAGAGCGCGCACGCCGTGGCCGTCGCGACACCGTGCTGACCCGCGCCCGTCTCGGCAATAATACGGCGCTTTCCGAGGCGACGGGCCAAGACCGCTTGCCCGATCGCGTTGTTGATCTTGTGCGCGCCCGTGTGCGCGAGGTCTTCGCGCTTGAGGTAAATGTCGGCGCCGCCGGCGAGCGCCGTGAGCCGCTTCGCAAGGTACAGCGGCGTCGGGCGGCCAATGTAGTCGCGGCCAAGCTTCTCGAGCTCTTCGCGGAACGACGGGTCCTGCGTCGCCTTGACGTACTCGTCGATGAGCTGGTGGTGCGCGGCGATGAGCGTCTCGGCCACAAAGCAGCCGCCAAACTGGCCAAAGTACGCGTTGAGCTCCTCCTTGCTGTTGTAGACCGGCGGCGCGTTCGAGACGGCGAGGTACTTGGACGGCGTCGACATGGGTCGGAGCGAAGATTTCTAATAATGCGCCTTCCTCTGCCACGCCCGTGGATCGTCCGGATACGGATAAAAAGGCGCGGGCCAATCAGACACGCGTCAAGGTGAATGCGCATTGCAGCACGTGTTCCTGAGGTCGCGTGGCGCGTGGGGAAGTTTCCGCGGCGCCGCCGATGCGCAATCCGGCGCCGGCGCCCGCATGGCGCCGGAAGGTCCCCGAAGCCGGCCCAGTCGGCCCACAACGATGTAGGACGATGGAAGCGGCTGTTGAAAAGACGGGAATCCTCTGGGCATCCGTGGCTGGGCTTGCGCCTCGACGAGCTTCAGAGTGAGCGCAGTTTGGACTGCGTCGTCGATCGTGACCGCTTCGACTATCGCACAAGATACATGTACCCCATCATCACGAGGAAGTTGGAGCTTACTAGCGTTGGTACAGTTGCTAGTAGCCTGCAGACGAGCACAGTGGTCGTTCGTTGGACGCATGTTCCCACGCGACTGGGGTCGTTCGTTGGACGCATGTTCCCACGCGACTGGTGACGGTGTCTCTAAGCCCATCACACATAGCGTCGAAAGCTGTCATTTCGGGGCTCGGTACGGAGCCAAGTACGCAAGAGGAAGCGTTTCCTGCAGGTGCACTCGGTGGAGCTGTGCGCTGCTTTGTCGAGGATGGCTCTATGCAGACAACATGTATAGCATTGAATTTCCACAAAACTCTAACGGCAGTGCGCCATAAACTCGGAGCAAGTGCGTGAACGTGTACATTTTGTCTATCTATTGTTGATGCCAGTGTTGCATAAGCGTCTAAGACCTTAGAGCAGCCAAGTGCTACTAGAAGTGGGGCGTTTGGTCGCCATTCAAAGTTGTTAACGGTTGACCTTGAGAGCCCAATGACGTGCTCCTCAAAGTCTTCTATGTTGATTGCATTTGGTCGCCAACTGTAGACGTAGTCAAGCTGCATTAATCTACGGTAATTGAAACGAGGTTTATATACAGGACATCCTCGTCGACACGTTAAGGGTGGCTCCAACGCGATGGCACAGTCGTTGGCTCGGACGCGTTGGAGCTGCTGCTGGACGAGCCTTCCTTCGGCCCCCACACGGAATCATGCGGCGCAGACGCGTTCTTCGTCGAGTCTGACGATGAGATGTTCGACGGGACCACAAAGATGTGCCCAGCCACCTCCTTGGTCGTTGCTGAGGCAGATGTAGGCGCTGCGGTTGATGTCGTCGGCGCTGGGGTCGTCGTCGTCGGCTTCGGGGTCGTCGTCGTCGGCTTCGGGGTTTCCGTTGTCGGCTTGGGCGTCTCCGTCGTCGGCTTGGGCGTCTCCGTCGTCGGCTTGGGCGTCTCCGTCGTCGGCTTGGGTGTTTGTGTGGTCGGCTTGGGCGTTTCTGTGGTCGGCTTGGGCGTCACTGTTGTTACTGTCGGGGTAGTGTCCGCCGACGCATTCGTCTTCGAAGCGGGCAACACGACGATCGAGGACGAGTTCAACGAAACACTAGGCGTTGGCGCCACAGTCGCCGGCTTGGTCGTCGACGGAGCAGGCGTCAACGGGGCAGAGGTGGAAGGCGAAGGTGTCGAAGGGGCCGATGTCGACGGGGTTGACGTCACATCCGAGTGCGTCGGAGCCTGCGTCGGGACCGTCGTTGGGGTGAGAGTCACAAAGCCGTGGGTCGCGTTCGAGGACGAGTTGACACCCAGAAGCGCAGGGCGGGTCGTCGAGTTGTCGTTCTTGGCGCCTGTGACCGTCGCCCAGGCCTTGGACACCTGGTCCGGGTTGAGCACCGCGACAACGACGCCCGACGTCACGAGGAGCGTCGCGAGCACCGCGAGGTACTTGCGCCCGTTGCCACCGCTCTTTTCGTACTTTTCTTTTTTGTTTTCCTTTTCGACAGGCGCCTCCTTGCCAATGAGCTCCGCGTCGCTCTTGGTCGAGCTCTTGGTGCTCGCGAGCTCAATGTCGTCGATGCCGGCGTCGTCCGCCGTGTTCTTCTCCGAGGCCTTGAGCAGCTCCGAGTCCTCAAAGACGTCCTTGGCGCCGGCCACGGGCGTCATCGCCGGGCCCGTCGTGAAGGCGGCGGGCGTCTCGACCGGCTCCGGTCGCATCATCGTCACTGCGCGAATCAGGTCACTCCTTTGAAAATGGACACGCTAGTATCCGGACCACATTTCACTTGCGACACGCCGCCAGTATTTTATTGAAGTACAGGCAATCCATACAAATATCAAGTCTACCGATTGCAATGGCAATTAAAATAGTGGACAAGCCGAACCGGTTCGGGAGAGATGGTAGCTGGAGTGTTTGCTCTTTCTGTTTAAAACACTGTATCTTTGGTCGTGTTGACGTGGCATCCGAGAGTCCTCAGCCCCTTGAACCTTGCGATGAGGGGCTGGGATAATCTGCCATAGCTCTTGCGTGTACATGCCAAGTCGAAGGTCGAGCTGTTTGACTTTTGAAATGGAGGGATGCTCACGGGGGTTAAATCCGAGAGCTTTGGACTCGACCCCTTCTCATGCCTTGCCAGGACAGGGGGGCCAGGTGCGGATGAAGAGAAATGTCATGCTGGACCAAGCACGCTTTTTCAACCCAAATGTTGCCAATGGACCCAAGACCAGTATCGTGTGGACGCATGGAGCTCTTCCGTGCGGACGATTCACGATGTTGGGAGCGTCTCGCTTTCGTTTTCATGGTGCAATAAGCTCTGCGTGTGCGCTTCTATGCATGTACGTACCCATTTTAAACCACTAGCACGATGGTGTTGCAAGCATCGAGATGGAATTGCGCTGTTTGCTCTTCGCTTACTTGTGCAGCGCTGGTCACTGCACACGCAAGAATGGGACGGAAGAGCCAGACGCTTGGTCCACGTTCCGCTCTCACCTGTTGCATTGCGTGTATAAAACACGTTGCAGGTAGCCAATCAGAAAGAGGCAATTGACTGGTCATAAACTTTGAAAAAGCGCCAAGTCGGTGCCAAACGCGATCTGCCGCAGCATGTCCGACATCTTGAACACAATCGTGGCCGCCCAGGCGCCGCCTTCGAACCAGTGGGAGTACTTTGAGCTTGGCGTGAAGCTCACGCTTGCGCGATGGACGGCGCTCCGCATGGCCATGGAAGGCGAGTGGGGCGGCGGCGACATGAAGCGCAAGTGCGAGATTCTCCTCGAGGAAATCCTCCACCTCTTCAAGTACCAGAAGCAGGTGCTCTTTGACGACTTGGCCGTGAACATTGAAGACTACATTGAGAGCGAGTTTGGCCTCGTGTGCGAAGATGGCAGTGTCGACGAAGTGGCCAAGGTGCTTTGCGCCTGCGCCGAAGAGTGCAAGCAGGGCCAGATCGAGCGCATCCGCCAGCTCAAGGAACAGTTCGAGACCTCGACGTTCGCAATCGACCTGAAGCGCGCCAAGATCCAGCAGGAGCAAGAGTTTCTGCAGCGCGCGGCCATGGTCGCCGAGAACGGCGGTGAAATGGAAGTCGACGACACGCCGGCGGTCGACGAGGACGGCTTCCAAACGATTCGTCGCTCGACGCGCAAGAAGGCACAGCCCAAGTTTTACGATCCTGCAGTCCAATTCCCCGGCGCTCAGTAAACCCAAATGTATCTATGCTCGCACGCGACTCTTCCAATATTGCATCTCATTTTGTACACACTTCGCCTGCGCAGCGCACTCCCACACTGCGCCCAGATAATTACACTACCTTTGAGGATCTCCAGGAGCGGCGTCAACGTGCGCAGGCCCACACAGCGCTGTTGGCGGCCAGCGGCGCCGCAGTGTGCGCACCTCACACTAATTGCGGCAGATCCCATCAATGTACCCGTACACGTACATTGTACTGTAATGTACGCCTTTTGGTATCTGTAATATATCAAGATCGATGGGAATGTACGGTAATGGACGATCCTGTGATTACCGGAGGCAATATTTTGGCTGGCCAACACTGCGAGACCAACCAACTCGAGCTTTCTTCGTAAATAGCGATGTCGCTTGTCCGTGCCTTCCAAGCCCTCCGCGTGGCGGCGCCCGCCCGCGCCTTCTCGGCGGCTGCCTCGCTGCCCGCCAACCTTCTCTTGGCCCAGGAGAAGCCCAAGCCGGAGCCTCGCTTCGTGACCCGCGAGCCGCTCACCTTTGACGCGGCTGGCAACGTGCAGGCCAAGCTCCTCTCGTTCACGGACGGCTCGGAAGTTGGCACGCTCGCGTTGAACCGCAGGTAGACAAGATGCAACTGGCTTCAAGACCTCATGCGCGTATCGTAGCGTCTTTGGCGCCCCGATCCGCAAGGACATCTTGCACCGCGTCGTCAAGTGGCAATTGGCCAACCGCCGGTCGGGCAACCACAAGACGAAGACCCGCTCGGAAGTGAGCGGCTCGACGCGCAAGGCATGGGCACAGAAGGGTTCGGGCCGCGCCCGTGTCGGCAACATCCGGTACGTTCGCCTCTCGCAGCCATGGTTGCCTCATGCGTGCCTTGCCCAGTCCGCCGCAGTGGCGAGGTGGTTACCGCGCTCACGGCCCCGTCGTGCGCGACCACTCGTACAGCTTGCCCAAGAAGGGTACGTCCTATGTTCTGTAAAGCTCCTTCGACTCATGCACGTGTGCAGTCCGTGCCATGGGCCTCCGCGTTGCGCTCTCGACTAAGCTCGCCGAAGGCAAGTTGGCGATCGTCAAGGAGCTCGACGTCGAGGTTAGACAATGCTGCCACCTAGTCTCTTGTCTCATCGGCCTTTTGTGTAGACGGGCAAGACCAAGTCGATGAAGGCCTTGTTGGAAGCCAAGGGCTGGGACGACGCGCTCTTCGTTGACGGCGAGGAAGCGCCCAAGAACTTTGTGCTTGCGACGCGCAACCTCGCGCGCGTCGACGTCCTCCGCGAGCACCAGGTCAACGTGTACTCGATCCTGCACAAGGACATCCTCGTCCTTTCGGAGAAGACGGTCAAGTACCTCGAGGAGCGCTTGGCCGTCGAGTAAGACGCCGTCGACCGTTGACTCGAGTTCGTAGTAGAAGAAGTAGATAACGCAAACGAACTCCTCTGTTCTTAGTTAGCCCTCTCTCGATTGTAGTAGCCAGGAGCAACGTTCTCCTGGTTGGGCACGCCGTAGGTAGAGGTGTCGCGACGGCTTGGCGTCACAGGTTTTGAGTCGCCCGAGAGCTGCGACACGGTGTGCTTGAGCTTGACGATGTGCTTGACCGCTTGCTTGAAGTCGTCGCGAAGAGCCGTATGCGCATGTGTGAGCGATTGCAAGTCCTACGACGCGTGTACGGAGTCGCCGTACCGTCAAGGCGAGACGTACCTCGTGGAGCTTCTGGATGGTTTGGTCTTGCTGCAGGCGGGCGTCGCGTTCGCGCTGGAGTTCTTGCTGGAGCTAGAGTCATCCATGCACAGCTGTCAGCCTCGATGCAAGGTACGAGGCTGCGAAAACCTGCTCGACAAGCGCCATGACGTGGTGACTGGTGTCTCTCGCTTCGAGCTGCGCCGTCGTTGTGTCCATTGTGTTGTCAGCACCGAGATAGTTGCCCTCGTAAGCGTCATGATGAGCGCGAACCTCGTGATCCGCATCATTCGCCACCGCGCTCTCGTCGAATTCGTTGGCTTGGAGCTCGAGCGACACGAGCATTTGGTCCATGCGGTCGATCTCGCGCTGCAGTTCTTGCTTCTGGAGATCACCCGAGAGCATCGGCATGGGTGGACGACGCAAGTGGTGCTGGAAGGTATCCCTTTGCTGCGGCGGCGCCGTCATGGCGCGCTGCATGGCCGGCGCGGGCATGGCGCGCCGGGGCAGCTCGGTCGGGATTTTGGTCAGCATCTGGATCTTCTTCTTCAGAAGCTGGTCCTGGTTGAGCTGGTACGATGCTGCGTCGGTGAGGTACGCGTTCCACTCGGGCCGGCGGCGCGCCGGTGCTTTCGCCGCCGTCTTGGTTGGCTTCCGCTGCGCCTTCATCGCCTCTTGCCAATGGCACACGTCCAGGCTGTTTGGCAGGGACAGCAATTACCTTAATCAAGTAGCTTCTGTGGGACATGCCAGGGTTTTGCCATCGCGCCCAGTTTTCTGTGACATCGATGCCCGAGCCGTACGCTGTCGCAGCGTCCACAACTGAATCTCGTAGCTCTCTCCAATCCTTGTCAAATACTGCGTAATTCCAGGGCCACGAGGCCTCAACCGACAAGATCGGCGGAGGGCAAGAGAGAGTGCTCATGTATGTACTTGGATACGACAATTAGCTCATATCTGATTGGCTCTCACCACCAGTTTTGTCGCAGAAAGGCAACGTATCAAGTTGTATGCACCTGCGAAACGGCGCGTATAATTAGCTGACGTCCCGCACAAGTCATGGCAGCCATGGCCGCGTCGCTGGGTCCGACGGAGCACGACATTGACGTCGACATCCCGCTGACGTGGCGCAAGGTGCTGCTCACAGTCGGCTCGTACTTCCTCTTCTTCACCGACATTCCGCGGTCCGGGCTGGGCTTTGCGACGCTTCCTGCCGGCTACGTCTCGGCGACCGAGACCACGTACGTGGACTTTGGCCCGTACCATTACCCGATCATCACCATGCTGCGGCTTCCCAACGGTACAATAGTCCTTGCGAGTGCGTGCGCTGAGGCGTGTAGGCTCGATCGTGGCTTCGTCGCCGACGGCCAAAGTGTGGAGCTACAAGTTTGACACGTGCTCGGTGGGCCTGCGCACGCTCGTCACCTCCCGCAGCATGACGAGCTGGTATCTTTATCCTTGCTCTGGTAGCGCTGGACATGGGATTGGTAGGGACCCTTGCTTCTTATACGCGGCCGACTGCCCAGCGACGACCGTCGACCCTCCAACGCTCTTCCCCATGCTCGATGACGTCGTCTCCAGCATCGCGCAGCTACCCACCGCTGCGTGGCGCATCAATTACCTCTTTGCCGACAACATCAACGACTTCTTCTCGTTCGGACCGTTCAAGGAGCGCGACTGGCGGAGTGTCATGACCCACTACGTACCGACATCAAGAACGCGCATCTGCGACCCGACCCATCTACCACGACCGTGCTTCTGCGACCAGTTGTGGACCAACTTTGGCGCGCTCGGTACGAGCCATTTCGCTCGCCATCTCGACGACTCAGCACTCTGTTCTGACTTGGTGTCTGGTAGGCGTCGAGGGCATCGGCTGGATCGTCGACGACATGCAGAGCAAGCTGCGTTTGCAGGAAGACCGTATCGACAATAAGACGCAGCGGATCGATATGGCGATCGTCGAGTCCTTTGACGACTTTCGCGCGTGGAGCGGCGGCGTCGCCAAGGCGTACGCAAGCCCGTTCGACGTCGTGGCGCTCCTCCGCGTCCAAAACTGCTCGGACGTCCCCGCGCGCACCAACTGCTCGACGGTGTTTCTCGCCGACTACCGGTACGAAGGCGGCGTCGGGCGCACAAATACCCTCTACTGGTATGGCATTGCGCACGCACTTCGGCTCGTTGGCCAGATGTACAACATCGTTCGTGCCTGCACGCTCCTCGCGGGCTGTTACTATGCGCGGTGCACCGAAGACAAGTATCTGAATGCGTCGCTGCGCCAGCGGCTTCTTGGCGCGCTCTGCACGGGTCTCCGCATTCCCGCCCAAGTCATCATCTACGGCAGCTGGTTGCCCGTGCTTCTCTTTGCGATCGCGCACCTGATCGACTCGCCGTTTCTGTACTTTACCATCTACATGGACCTCGGCACGCTCAACGGGTCGACCCGGTTCGTGCCGAGTCAGATCTACACCTTTTGGGTCCTCCTCACCTGTCATATGCGCAACGTGTGGGTGCTCAGCCTCGTGACCAAGGGCATTTTGCTCGCCGTCGACCGCCACCGGCGCCAAACGATCCTCGGCTTCCGCGGGTACCTCCTCCCAGTCGTCTCGTTTCTCTCGGTGCTCTTTGAGATCCGCCTCATTGTTCTCCGCAATACGCACGTGCTTCGCATTGTCCCTGCGCACCCGAGCGGCCTGACGCTTTTCGTTCGAGAACTGCACTCGATTCCCAGCAATTTCAAGTTTTGGGGTGTCTACTCGGACGTCAAGAACCTCTTCATCTCGTGGTGCGCCGTGTACTTGGTGTTTGGCGGTCTCCTCGGGCAGCCGCTGAGCTTCCACACGAACGTACCGAACTCGGTCCTGCGCTTTGGCAGCCGCAGCATGTTTAGCACCTCGTGGCACACGGTCGCACCGCACGGGTCGCTGTACCACAGCCGCGTTCAGTGCCATGGCCGCGTCTCGGCGGCGCGCAGGTCGCTGCATGCGCTCGTGCACATTGCGTGGATGACCGACCCGCTGCAGTACGTTCTCTTGCTCTGGACGCAGCCCGTCGTGTTTCGCTATCGCGTGGCACCGTCCAACCACATTATATACCACGCGCTGCCATGGCGGGAGCTGCGCCGCCTGCACGGCGATGTCGACCACCTCGAAGGCGTCGGGCAGGCGTTGCTCATGAAACTGCCTTGGCGCGAACGGATCTACTGCCAGTGAAACTGACACACCGAGACAGGCGGCAACCGACGCGTGTATGGGCGGTGACATTGACGCCGACATCAAGCTGCCGTGGAGTCGCGTCTTCCTCGCAGTGATCTCGTACGGCCTCTTCTTCACCGACATTCCGCGCAGCAGCCTCGGGTTCCCGGTGCTTCCCAGCGGCTTCCACAGCACCACCGAGTCGCTCTACTCGAGCTTTGGACCGTACGCGTATCCGATCATTGGCATCACCAAAACCACGTCCGGTGCGGCCACGGCCTCGTTCGTATCAGAGCTTATTTGGCGTCATGTAGGCGCCTACGTCGGATCGATCCCGCTGGCCAAAGTCTGGAGCTACAAGTACGATACGTGCTCCGTGGGGCTGCGCACGGTCGTCTCGCAGCGCAACGCCTCTGGCTGGTACAGAGCTTAGACTCTATAGCCGCTGCAGAGTGTACCCCTAGGGACCCGTGCCTCGTGTACGAAGCCGAGTGCAATACGACGATGCTGACGCCCAAGAGTGTTTTTACGATGCTCGACAATGTTGTTGCCGCGGTCGTCGCCGCGCCGTCGCTCACGTGGCGCGTCAGCTACTACTTCTACGACATCATCAACGACCTCTTTGCGTTCGGCACGTTCAAGGAGCGCGACTGGCGCACGGTGCGGACGCACTACGTTCCATCGCCGGAGGTTGACGTCTGCGACCCGACGTGCGTGACGCGACCCTTCTTTTGCGAGCAGCTCTGGACCGACTTTGGCGCACTCGGTACTCGCTTCGAACCCCACGTTCCTCGCTTTCTAGTGTGAATAGGCGTCGAGAGCACGGGCCGCATCGTTGACGACATTCGAATGCAATTCCGAGCCAAAGTCAACGCGTCTAATGCGAGCCACCAGCGCGTCGAGCTCGTCATCCTCGAAGCCATCGATGACATTCGGCCGTGGGGCGGCGGCTTTGCAAAGTCGTTTGCGTCCGCGTACGACGTCGTCGCGCTTCTTCGCGTCCAAAACTGCTCGTCCGCCAACAGCGTCGCGTGCGAGACCGTCTTTGTTTCGGACTACCGGTACGAAGGCGGGTTTGCCAAGACAAATACGATGACGTACTACGGTATCACGCACATTTTACGGCTTTTTGGCCAAACGTACAACATTTGCCGGGCGCTGACGCTCTTCCTCGGGTGCTACTGGGCGCGGGCGGCCGAGCCCAAGTACGCCACGGCATCTTTCTTTCGACGACTCGTGTGTGCGGTGCGGACCTTCTTGCGCATCCCGGCGCAGGTGGTGATCCACGGCAGCTGGCTGCCCGTCGCCGTCTTTGTCGTTGCGCACTTGATCGACTCGCCGCTCTTGTACTACTGCATCTTTATGCAGCTCGGCCCGCTCAATGGCGCGACGCGCTTCACGCCGGACCAGATTTATTCGTTCTGGGTCTTGCTCACGTGCCACATGCGCAACGTTTGGGTGCTCAGCCTTGCGACCAAATGTATTTTGCTCGCTGTGGACCAGCGCCGGCATCAGACGATCCTCGGCTTTCGCGGGTACCTCCTTCCGTGCGTCTCGTTCTGTTCCATCTTTTTCGAGCTTCGCTTGACGTCGCTTCGGCGCACAGACCTTCTCTCGGCGGTACATGCAAACCCGAGCTTGTCGACGACATTAGTCCGCGAAATGCAAGCGATCCCGAGCAACTACCGCTACTGGGGCGCGTTCTCCGACATCAAAACCCTCTTTTTGTCGTGGAGCGCCGTGTACATCATCTTTGGCGGGCTGCTGCGGCGCCGCCTCGGGTTCCGCACCACAGTGCCGTTCACGCTGTTGCGCTACTGCAACCGGAGCATGTTTAGCACGGCCTGGAATGCTCTCGCGCCAGAGACCGCAGCCGTCGCGCCGGCGACGGACCTCAGCAGCATGCGCCAGTCGCTCAACGCGCTCATGCACATCACGTGGATGACCGACCCGCTGCAGTATATCATGCTGCGCTGGAACCAACCGGTTGTGTACGTCTACCGCCACAAGACCACGGGCTCGCGGATCCACCACCCGCTCTCACCCCGAGAGCTCGCGCGCCAAGATGCCTCGCTGAGCGCGTCGGTCGAAGTGATCGGCCAAGTGCTCATGATGGAGCTGCCGTGGGCCGACCGCATCTACTGCCACTAGCTCCAGATAAGAAATCGGCGACGGCTCAAGTCGCAAGGACGTGGTGAGCAGAAGAGCGAACGTCGGTGCCCACCACCGCGCTCGGGCCCTCTTTCCGAAGCTCGCACCCCATTTGAGCCAGCAAGGGTGCGTCGGGCCAGCAACACCGCGGTAGCTCGCAAGGTAGCGAGGACTCTCGCGTTGCCAAGACCTGCGCCGGCTCTGCATGACAAACTGACCATTGACGACCGACGAACGCGGTGATTGGCTGCTATAAATAGCGCAGACAGGCGGTCGTCCAAAGCCAAACGCAAAACGAACGCGCCGACATGGGACTTGACGCGGACATTCCGCTGACGTGGCGCCGCGTCGTGCTTGCGTGCTCGTCGTACGTGCTCTTCTTCACGGACATTCCGCGCAGCGGGTTCGGCTTCAAGACGCTTCCACCGGGCTACCGTGCGGCCACCGAGTCGCTGTACGCCAACTTTGGCCCGTACAACTACCCGATCATGACCATGACGAAGCAGCTCAACGGTACACGCCTGGTCGCGCCATGCCCCTACAATGCGGCAACGTAGGATCGGTGACCGGGTCGGTCCCACTCGCCAAAGTCTGGAGCTACAAGTTTGACACGTGCTCCCTGGGGCTTCGCACAGTTGTCTCGCAGCGCAACGTCTCTGGCTGGTGAGGCCACGGCTGCAAAGGAGTGGCGATCGAGCTCGTATAGGGATCCGTGCTTGCTGTACGCATCCGAGTGTACACGCGAGATGCTTTCGCCCAGCGAGGTGTTTACGATGCTCGAGAA